AGGGGATAAATACATACAAAACAACCTGAAGTAATCTCCTGCTCTCATCTACATCTGTTTTAACAATGTTTGTGATACTTGTTAAACTGACCTCTAGAAACAGTTCCTGAGGTCTGTTCACTGTCACTCCAGAGGTTCGATTCCCTGCCTCTGACTTGTGGCATTTGTGCACTTTCAGTATTAATGCACTCCAGGTTACTCCCAAGTTGCAAGTGAGGTGAAGTGGACAGTGTAACCACCCACAGATAATTTATGTGAGGGTCTACCTGATATGGATGGATGGACGTAATGGTCCGCACGCTGACCTGACTGCCTGCCTGCATTTTGTCCGTTGCATGCTGGGAAATGCACCAGTGACTGAAACAGATCACATAGAAATTGCACAGTGACTACACAAACCTAATGAAAACGTATATTGAGTACTAACCTTCCAAAATAGTTCTAAGGTTACATGTGTACTTCTGCAAACATGAAGTGGACTTCACTATATAAACAGATCCTTTCTGTAAGGTCAGGGTGAAATAACAATAGCTCACTGTTTTGAGTATATTGATGCATTTGTTGACTTTTCATTTGACCCACTGCTATCTGCTTGTCTTCTGGAAGATTCTGCTTTAATAAGCAATTATGTCAGTGACAGTCAGAGAGACATTCACTCTAAAAAGAAGAAAAGCATTCAGTGCCAGTGATCTGGCTTGGATTGTATCATTATGCCCCACACAGTCAGACACACAGTTTAGTCAACACACTTGCTCAGTGACTTGTACTTCTCATCAAATTTCGACAAACACCTCCAGATAAGGAAAAAAAACCCTTCATATTCAGCAGTGTTGTTCTATTGTATAACAAGAATATGTTGTATGTATATGTAAATGTGTGCACTGTTTTCTGACATTTATTATTATAGGTACAGGTTATTAAGTGTTTATTACAGAAACAAAATTGAAGGTTAAGATGCTATGCTGGAAGTAAGTGATGTGAAAACATGGTTACCCTGCAGGATGTGACATCCTCATCCAAGACAGGTACGATTCAGCGAACAGTGAAGAGATCAGCTAGTCGCTGTGGCCGTTATGCCTGCGTCAGAGTTTAGACTGAAATGTGGTCGAGCACATGTGAGATCTCACTGCTGGGAAAACCACAGCCTGTTGCTTTGCCTTCATTTAGTGCATATAGTGAGACAGACTTGAAAAGCTGGTTTATTAGTGCTAGCCAGTTTACATAGCTGTTGTTTGTTTGATGGTCATGTGAGCAATGCAGCACAGTCAATCTTTAGCAGGTCGAACAGTTATGCTTTCACTTTGCACACACTTCTGGACACTTTTCAGATGAGAGGAAAATTAGAAAAAAGCTCTCACACACATTTCATTTATTTCTCCTAGACATTTATTGCTCCTGTCTCTCATTTTTTTCATCTCCAGAACAAAAATATGCACAGAACCAAAGGAGATCTCACTGAGCGCTAGGATAATTATCAGATATGCTGTCTCTGTAAACTCAGGCAATTCTCATGCCAGCCTGATTCACAAATCTCTGGCTGTGCTCAGACAGAGCAAATAAAGAGTTCTCCACAATTCTCATCTAGACTTAAATGATTTAAAAAAAAATCTCAGCCATATTTTTATCTGATTTCCCAGCATGCCCCAGTGCATTTCCTCCAGTGGTATTGTTCACATTCAAATGGTTCTGTTCTATTTCCTTTTGTTGTATGTGTTGCAGCAGTGTACCTGTTTACTATTTCACCCTGTATTGTGTTACCCTGTACTGTGTTTAATTAGTCTTGTGTAGTTATTTTTACCTGTGTAGCTGCCAATGCATTTCATGCCCTGCCCTCTTGTTGTGCTGTCTTAGCGGTTGCATGGTGCTTCCTGTCAGTTCCTTTGTCATCATTTCCTACCAGCCCAGTGGTCAATACAATATATAAAACTAAATCTTTATATACACATAGGCTCACATGTTCCTCCGTGTTGCTTTAGTATTGCTCATGTCATTATTTACACTGAGTCAAGTTTAGCGAGGTATCTCCCTTCTGTCTCAAGAATGACTCCTGTTGCATTGTCCTGTCTCACCCACCTAGTGACCCTTAGGAGAAACATAGCAGGAACACATCAGGCAAAATAGAAACTAAAATGAGCATCATAATGTTGTCTCTAAAACCACAGAGCAAGCAAGTGTTGAGCAGTATAATTTTCATTTTGTCTCCATGACAAAATCAAAACGATATGAGAGGACAGAAAATATGATGGAAGCAATAACGTCAGTGATGTGTGAATAATAATGAAAATCCTGTCGTCTGTGTCCTGAATACCCTAATAAGAAAATATCACCATCTGTCGGCCCCCCTTTTCTCTCTCACAAACACTCTGTCCAGCCATTATTCTCACTTTAAACCTTATTAACCCTGAGTCTGACTCAGTCTCACCTACTTGCCCCTTCTTTCTTTACAGATAAACTGTTTGGGAAACGGCTTCTACAGGCCCGACAATACATTATGTCTCGAACGTCCTGGCTGAAGATGGTGCCCACCAAAAACTGTGATATCTTGATGACATTCCCAGGTACAGTAAGCTGCCCTCCCTGCTCATCCTGTGATGAGTCTCTCACTGTACAGATGACAGCACAGCTTTGTTAAATGTCTCTGCTAGTCAGTCAGCCTCCGCAGATAAATGGCTAGGACTTAAAACTGGGGTCAGTAACTTCTATAAAAATCACTTTTTTGTCATATTTGCTGTCATTATATCCTGGGAATAACACATAACACAGATTTACTGCGAAAACACCAGGGTTCTCTGTATCTGTATATATCTTTCTTGTGGCTGTTCTGAAAAGAAATCAAAATGGATTTTAGCTTAGCACTATGTTATCTGTTTGTTTAAACAGGACAATTGTAGCCTAGATGTCACAGCATACACTTTTTACACTGCTCACACTTAAAAATTGAGGGAAAATTTACTAAAAGGATAAAGGGTGAAAGGTATACTGTCAAACTTAAAATACAACCATGCTTTCTCCCTCCAGATACGATAGACGACCACACTCTGCTGTGGCTCCTGAATCAGATCCGTGTCGGAGTCCCACAAGTCAGCATTCAGGTCCGGCAGCATAAACACACCCAGGCACATGCCTTCTTCATCACAACGACATTTGAGAAGTAAGACTCTGAAACTCACACTCTGACTGTGTGTGACTGTGTTTTCATGCATGTGTAGGCATGTGCGCCTCTGTCTTTTTTTTAATGTTTTGAGTGAAGACCTCCAAGAAGCTGATGAGTGCTGGTGCTTATTTTTAGGATTGATGTCAGAATAACAATTATTCACAGTGATTTAGATTTTATTCCTATTGGTTTTTGGTACCATTTTACTCTGTTACTTTACTGCATATAGATGGGACGTAGCAACACTGCTAGAATGAAGTCCAGAAGGGCAGACATCATTGTCAGAGAGAGAGTTGAATCTCAGTTAGATTTTACAGGGGAAGACAGAGTATTAAAAATTTTATTTCAAAGTTAAGGAACAGCCCGTGTGTTTTGCTACTTAGGGTAAAAAAAAATAATAATAAACCTAAGCGTGTGTGTGCATGTATATCTATATGCTCTTGTACATGCATGCATGTGTATGTGTAGTCTTTTTATTTAGCTTTTAATGTTAGTTTTTAAAAGTTTTAGTTTTTATTATGGCTGTATCTTATTTTATTGAAAAGTCTGGTAGGATAAATGAATAGTTTGACATACTGGGAGACGTGTCTATTCACTTTCTTGTGGGGCAGAACCAGGCGAGTTGTTTCCCTCAGTTCCCAGTCTTTATTCAAACCAAACTACAGTAACTGACTTCCAGCTTCAATTTCACATATTTCATGCACAGTCATGAGCGAGGTGAGTGTATTCCCCAAAATGTCAGACTATTCCTTTAAACAGACTTCTGCAAAGGATTGGCCCTGCCGTTCATTTACCCTCTGTCGTCACCCTCAGCTTACTGCGAGGAGCAGAGCAGATGAGCATGCACAAGATGGTCAAACCGCAGTATGGCGGCGGGCTGCGGCGCTTTTCCTGTGATGAGGACAACGTCTATGAGAACATAGAGAGCGAGCTCTGCTTTTTTACCTCACAGGTTAGAGATCAAAACTGCTGCCCATGTAAGATACAGTATATGTTAGTGTTGCTGAGAGCATGACACAGAACATTAATTTGAGGTGCTACGAAAGATTAACTCTGTCTTTTTCAAATATATTCTATAAAATTAAAATGTATTTCTTTTATATGACCGTACTTCTCCGTGTGTCTGTGACTGTGTTCAGGAGCGTCAGAGCATCATTAAGTATTGGCTGGACAACCTGCGAGCCAAGCAGGGGGAAGCGCTTCACAACATCAGCTTTCTGGAGGGACAGCCGATCAGTACGCTGTTATTTGTTACCACCACCATCTTTCATGCTGTCTTTTTAGTCTCTAAAGTTTATTTTTTAAATGCTTTGAAATTCAGTGAGTAGTTTGTGCAGTGGATTCTGTTTGCATTGTTTCTTTTGAAAGAGTTTAAATTGATTACAGTGTTTTTATTCTGCTCAAAAAAAATCAAATGTTTCAAATGTTGACTTTTTTGTATATCCCTCATTAAGCTAATTAGCCCACCTTACATTGACTCATTTTATGGTTTTAAACATAGACCAAATGTCACCTGAGATACATCGCATACATTTTTTGATATGTCGTCTTCAGTTCCAGAGCTGGTAGCTCGTGGCGTGATCCATCAAATATTTCCTCTCCATGAGCAGAGGATCCTCAACCAGCTGATGACATCCTGGGTCCAGGCTGTGTGTGAAAGGCAGCCCCTGGGTAGGAAAAGTCACAGAGGACAAGAAACAGCAGCCCCAAATTATTCCAAGTCACATTAACTGAGACCGTAAAACACTAGTATTTGCCAATGTAATCTGTCAGTTTAGTGCAGGATGACCCTTCTCGCCAAAGCCCCAATATTAGCTGTTTATAATGTCATCTGCTTTGTAGATGATATTTGTGACTACTTTGGAGTGAAGATTGCCATGTACTTTGCCTGGCTGGGTTTCTACACCAACTCGATGCTTTACCCTGCTGTCATCGGCTTCCTGCTCTGGATATTAGCAGAGGATGACCAGGTACTTGAAACCTTTTCTATAGCAAGATTAGTTTTTTCTCTTCTTTACTTGGAATATTACTGAAAATCATCATTTAACTGTCACAGCATAAGCGCACTGGTGCTGATTTGTAGTCTTGTTTTTACCTGTCATCTACATATTTGTTTTATTTATGTCAGAAATGTCAGGAGATTTTGAATCAGCCATGTGCAATCGTATGTAAATATTAGTTTAGCTTTTTATTGTTTTATTGTCTGTTACTTTTTCTGCTTTTATCATAGAGTACCTTGTCTCTGTGTGCTCATCTTATCTTAGCTTATCTTATGATAAGAAGTATGAGTAATAAGTTAAAGGAATCAATTCATTAATACAGTGGCATAACAGATTTCAGAAGTGGTATCAGTGTCTGTGATTCTCCCATGCTCTCTCGCAGACCAGTCAGGATATCTGCTGTGTGGTTTTTGCCCTTTTCAACGTTGTGTGGGCAACGTTGTTTCTGGAGCGCTGGAAGAGACGAGAAGCGGAGCTGGCCTACAGGTGGGGCACCCTGGACACCCCCACTGAGTCCTTGGAAGAGCCCAGGCCACAGTTCAGGGTGAGGATTGCTGCCATAGCTGTTTACTTGGATGAACAAAACACAGGTTTGCGTTGTGAGACAGCTGCGAAAAGCTAAAACTAATAATGAAGTTCATACATTGAAAATTCTTTTGTTTCATTGGTCAAATTGAATTGAATTGATTGAATTGAATGCTTTATTGTCATTGTATGAGCAGTACAATGAAATTAGAGTGCTACAAATGATAACAGTACAACGAAATTAGAGTGCTACAAATGATAACAGTGCAAGTTTAATAAATAGTGAGACATAAAATAAATAACAGACATAAAAAAAATAAATAAAAGACAAGTCACAATATGAATATATGTTAAGAGCAAAATCATGTCATACGTTTGCATTCAAAGATCTGATGGCCCAGGGAAAGAAACAGTTTTTAAGTCTCTTTGTTCTGCACTCCCTGTTCTTAGGTAGAATGGTTTACTGCTGTCTGTGAATGCTTGTGCAACTCTGCAGCATCTGGCTTGGCACATAATACCAGGAAATGTGATCAGTATGATTGCAAGAAGAGTGTGTCTTTCATACCCTACGTGCTCTCTGAGAAGGGAGTGGGGGTAGTATGAATAGTACATTTTGGGGGGAGGTCATGTGGACACCTTTGAAATGGCTCGTGAGAAGCTGCACATACAGCCCTGGCTAGCTCAGTTGGTAGAGCGTGAGACTCTTACTGTCAGGGTTGTGGTTTTGTACCCACATGTTGGGTATAGAGATGTTTCGACAAGGCAACAACAGCAGAGTTGTATTAATATAGAGTATGACAAAGTAGTGTGAAAAACACTAAGGGGTGTTTTACACAATAAACAGATCACAACAGCAAAAACATGGGACATATATCTGCATTTAAAAATAATATAACTGCTAAACAACCAAGCAGTCACTATGGAGCAGTTTTTGCACAAATATTTCAGATCCACTTTCCATTTAAGATGCTAGCAATCATGAAAATAACACAAAGGCTCTGATACTCTGTCTCTCTTCTTCTGCTGTCTCTTCAGGGTGTAAAGCGCTGCAGTCCTATAACAGGCTGTGAGGAGTTCTACTACCCGCCATGGAAGCGAGCTGTATTCAGATGGCTAGTCAGCCTGCCCGTCTGCCTCCTCTGCCTCTGTTTCGTCTTCCTCGCTATGCTACTCTGCCTAGAACTGCAGGTCAACACAGCATGCAGGTTCAATGGAAAGAAACTGAGCTGGCATAGTCTGGGGCTGATAAATGGGAATGATATTACTGAAGAGTTTAAACCCACCCCACCCTTTCTAGAAAAGTTAACGATAACACAACAGTTAAGCAATAGTATGTCAGAAAGTACAGCATTCCAGAAAACCTAAGGCCTTTAACTAAAGTTTAGTCAGAAGATGTTTAAATTATATCATTTTGAAAAATAGGTTATATAGACTAAATCCAAACATTTCTCAGGCCAGTTCAGATGAATTTCTAAAAGTAGCTGTGGGATTAGAAAGTAGATTTACATATTTATCATGCTTTTAATTTACCTTGTAGGAAGTGGTGATGGAGATCCAGGAGCTACCAGGCATTACAAGATTCATTCCTAAGATACTTCTGGCCATTACTGTAACCATATGTGATGAAGTGTATAAGAAAATTGCCTGCTGGCTCAATGACATGGGTAAGACACACAAAATGAACTCTCTGGGTACAACAGTGAAATACTACCTCTGTATACACAGAGAAATAAAGGAATTATTTATAAGAATTTAATTTAAAATTGAATATATTTGCCTGTGATTGTACTTTGTGGTAGTCATGTTCTTAGTGTGCATCAATATACAGTTATACTACCTGAGTATTGGTGTATGAACCTGAATTTAGCATTGTCTGTCAGAGCTCTGTGAGGCAGTTAAAGGTAAACAGAAACCGCTTCTACTGTCATTCAGCTGCACACTGAATAATGCTTCTCTTATATTGATGTCTTCCTCCAGAGAACTATAGACTTCAGAGTGCCTATGAGAATAATCTCATCATCAAGATGGTTTTTGTAAGTCATACTTCTTTTTGGGGTTGAATAGAGGTAAATCATCTTCACTGGGTGGAGTTGGACTTATTGTGATGTTTTCTGGTTGGTATACAGTTTGAATTCATCAATTCTTACCTTAGCCTTTTCTACATTGGATTCTACCTCAAGGACATGGAGCGACTGAAGGAGGTAACTATAACTAGTAGTATCATAAACTGAGTGAAAGGTTGTTTTGTCTTAAAGACTGTATATGCATGTGATTTCACTTTTACAGCTGTTCTCCTACTCCTCACAGATGCTCGCTACTTTATTGATCTTCCGCCAGTTCCTACAGAATATCAAAGAGGTCCTCCAGCCTTATCTCTATGAGCAAAACAAGCTGGGTGTCTTCACCCCAAAGGTGCTATGGGAGCTACTCCAAGCCATTATGTTCAAGTATGGCCGCCTGGCTCTCGGAAAGGCCCAAGCCTCGATGACTGCTTATTCCTTACTGGGTCCCAGAGGGATCCCAGTCAGTGCTAACCCGGAGCCAAAGAGAAGAGGAGATCTGAAAGCCGGGTTCAGGCTGACAGAAGAAGAGTGGGACATGAATGACAGTGCTTTGAAGCAACGTAAAGTCAGTTTCACTGAGAAGGTCGACTACCAGGATGTGGTGACAGAAATGCAGGCGGGAGATGACAGTTTTCTTGAGGATAGTCCCACACTGATAGAGGAAGGGATGGATGCATCCAATATTTTTGACAGTGGTGATGAGGACAGCGACTATGAATTGCAAACTCAAGTATGTAGCTGGTTTGTTATAATGACGTATCATCCTTTTTTTTTTTTTAGCTTTGTGGTTCTGGCTTTGTGGGTTTGGCTAAAATTGTCTTATAAGAAGTAACAGAAATCTATTAACTTCAGATATTTCCAACTGTTTCCAGTACAGTGTATTTCAGGTAGTTTAAGAAAGAAGTTACACTGTATCTGTGCAGGTTTATCTCATTCATCCAGGTAGCACAGCCACAGATCAAACTAAACCATCAGCCGTAAAGTTGCAGAACATACAATGTCCTAGTGGTCACAACAGAAAGTAATGTCATCTAATGTTTCTTTTAGCAGGAGACCAAGGAGAATGCCGCTGTGTCCTCTCCAAAGGAATCTAACTCTCTCTGTCAGAGACGAAAGAACATAGCTGAGGGGAGAGAAGGCAAGAAGTCATGGATTGACCCGCCAGAAGAACTCAAAACTGTCACACTGACCCAGGCTGAGATTGAGAGCTGTATGCAGACATATGAGGTGGGATACAAAATCATCTATATTCAAATTCACAACAATGCGTCCAGTAAAATACCACTGTTGTTTCATGATGTTTGTCCCCAACAGGACACTCTTCAGGACTACCAGGAGATGTTCATTCAGTTTGGCTACGTGGTGCTCTTCTCCTCTGCATTTCCCCTGGCGGCTATGTGTGCCCTTATCAACAACATTATCGAGATCCGTAGTGATGCCCTGAAGCTCTGTACCGGCCTTCAGAGGCCCTTTGGGCAGAGGGTGGAGAACATTGGACAGTGGCAGGTCAGTGTGCTTTGTTTTGTGGAAACCTCAGACAAGCCTTCCAGGCTACAGTGTGCATAGTGAGGGGATCTGATAACCTGTAAATGTGTGTGTGTCTCTCTCTCTCTCTCAACACCAGACTGCAATGGAGGCCATGGGCTTAATAGCCATTATAGTTAACTGCTACCTGATTGGTCAGTGTGGGCAGCTCCAGCGTCTGTTCCCCTGGTTGAGTCCTGAGATGACCATCATCTCCATTGTCTTACTGGAGGTATGCACTGTGATGTGTACAGTAAATGCAGGATTGTCCATGAAAGGATTTGTAGTTTTAAGAGATTGTATACTTGAATTTTAATTCCGAACATGACAAAAGAAGCACACGTGCGTGGCCTGCTATTTTTTATATTACTGTGACTCTGTAAACCCTTGGAAATCAAATGTTTGAACCATGTTCTTTCATGAACACAAAATGTCTCAGGAGTGGTCAGTATGTGTACAACATATAGTTTTACCTATAGAAAACAACCAACAGAATAGTAAACAGAATGTGATTGTGCCTTGTTGTGTGTTGAGCCTGTCCCTTTGTGGTCTTGGTGGTTTACAGCACTTTGCGATCCTCCTTAAGTATATCATCCATGTTGCTATCCCTGACATCCCTGGCTGGGTAGCAGAAGAGATGGCCAAGCTAGAGTACCGACGAAGGGAAGCTTTCAAGGTATAGTTGTGTCATAGCTTGAAAGACCTTCAGCCAGTATGAGACTCCTGCACTTTGTGCGATTTCTGTCATATTTCTTTATATGTATCCCTTTGTGTCCATCAGTCTCTTTGTATGCATTGTCCAAAAGGTCTTTGTCGTTGTCACTTCTCTTGCTGGTGGCACAGCGGTGCGGTGGTTAGCGCTGTCACCTCACAGCAAGAAAGTTCCAGGTTTGAGCCTGGGCCAATCCAGTGCCTTTTTGTGCGGAGTTTGCATGTACCCCTTGCGTGGGTTCTCTCTGGGTACCCTGGCTTCCTCCCACAGTCCAAAGACATGCAGCTTAGGTTGATTGGTGACTCTAAATTGCATGATTGTGAGTCTATGTGGTTGTTTGTCTACGTGTCAGCCCTGCGATAGACTGGCAACCTGTTCAGGGTGTACCCCGCCTCTCACCCAATGTCAGCTGGGATAGGCAACAACCAAAACCTATTCTCATGTACTGTACATAGGGATTCATCAAAATTGTTTTAACACCAACTTGAAAAATGCCAAATTATTCTTTTTTAAAGTTTAATCAAATGTTCTTCTTCCTGCTGCCACACATGTATTCATGATGTTCCTTATCCAATTCTCTCCTCTTGATCTTCACTGTCCTTCTTCCTGTGACTCCTTCTCTCTCCGCTCCTGTAACTTCATTGTGAAACCCTCCCCCAAATTAGAAGCATGAGCAGCAAGCGCAGCAACACTTCCAACAGCAGCTCAGACGCCGACGCGAAGAGGAGGAGCTTCAACGTCAGGCCGAGATGCAGGCTGAGGCCCGTCAGGAAAGCGAGTACCACAAGGCAGACACCCAGCACCAGCATCATCACGACAAAGCGCCGGGGGGCAAGCCAGGGGACAAGCCCAAGAGACCCAGTTCTCTGCTGGGAAACAACAATGTGATGAAGCTAAAGCAAATCATCCCTCTCCAGGGGAAGTTCTCCTCCGGCACCTCACGCTCACCAGCCCAGTCCCCAACAGGAGGTGAGGCAAAGCTCCCTGGATTTCTGAAATTCTTGAAGTCACCTGAGGTTAAAAAAGAGCCAGCAGTTGCAGTTGGAGTAACTCTGGGGTCAACAGTGACCTCTTCAGTTCCCCCTAGTGGCCAGGAGAGGTCACAGTCCCCCAACAGGACATTCAGTCCTGGGAAGCTGTTTAGTTTCAGCAAGTCAGAGGGTACTGTCGTGTGCACAAATGGGATACAACAACTGACCCAGGCTGCTAATGCTCAGCCCAACAGGTCGGACTTAAACACAACCACAGAGGAATTACCCTCTAATGAGTCAGATAAAGGAGAATTAAGACAATTGACTGATTTAGAAAATTCAAGCTCAAAGAGTTAACCGTTCAACCGTGCCAGTGTAATATCATGAATGGAGAGCAAATGTTCACAGCTTTGCACCTGTACTCTAGGAGAACACTTTACTCCCAAGGACCACATGTTGTGTTGTAGTTTCACTCCTGATTCAACTCACATCACACAATTACACTGTATGTAACACTTGATTATCTTGCTTCTGTGTAAAAAAATGTACAGTACATGTAACTGTGAATGGAGCTTCGGTAACCTTAAGGGTAAATCATGATTGCCTGGTTTTCAGCAGCACCAGAACAGATTATGTCGATGTGAAGGATCTTAAAAAAAAACAAAAAACAAAAAAGACCTGACCTTCAACAAACCCTTTTGTCAAAAGATGTGAACAGCAGCTTCCCATTCCAGGTTTGTTTCTCATCCTGATTCCTCTATTGAATGCATGTTGCATCATGTGCATGCATTACACATCCAGCATGTTTCAGTTGTGAAGCACTTTCAAAGCCATTGTATTCCTCTGCAATAGGTCAGATTATATTCACTGTGACCGTGAAAAATATTCTATTTTTCCTAACTTTGATTTTCTATGAATTATTTTATTACATAAATCAGTGAATGTACTTCTGATGCAAATAAATCTCACTTGAATAAACATCCATCAACACAGAACACATTGGCTGATTTTGTTAACAGCTGATAAAGGTCAAGGAATGATTGTTGCTGGATTGATTTGTTTGCTGGAAATATGTATGTAAACTCACTTTCTAAGGCAATTGTAACACACACACACACATATAGAAACACTCACGTGTTAATTATATTTTTGCCAGAAAACCATTTTCAATTGAATTTCTTGCTGTATCAACAACTGGTACATGGACCAAGAGCTTTTCTTCAGTCCCACCCAAAAATACTCTTTTACTGTGAGTTATAGATTTTACTGTATGTCATAGCGTAATCTATACAAGAACAAGATCTGCAATTTTCAACAATACATTTATACAATAAACCCAATTCAAAGCATTTAACAAACTCATCCCAATCTTAATTAGGTCATGGAAAAGAAATCATTTGACAAAAGCAGAATTAGCACTCTTCCATGAAGAGCCAAAAAAATTAAACACTGCATGGATCTGGTTTCAGTTTATACTTGAGAAACCTATGCTATGTGTTCTACTTGTATAAGCAGCCAAAAGATATGAACATGTACGCCATAAACCTCTGAACAACAATCTGTAACAGAAGTAAACATGTATAAGTAAGTAAACCATGTCAAACCATATTGAAAATGTGGTAAACACAGTGTCAGTTCTGGATATTTGCAAAAAGTGATTTTTCTAGAAGGTGCAAAGCAAATTAAGTTTGTTAACAATGGTTAATTTGTTCCGTTTTTGACCAAATTCTAGCATGTATTCCCTCCAGTGTAAAATGGTTAAACAAAATGAAATAACAATATGGTTGAGTTGGGGAAGACAAAATGAGAAATTGTGTTACCTGATAAAAGGGTCATAATCACAATACACATTCTGTACAAGTATACGGGATTCGTGTAGCATTATGATGAGCTTCAGCGACTTTACTTGCAGCTAACACACACTACGCTTACCTGTCTCTGCTGTCAAAAGCTTGCAAGTCCAAACATATTATGACTCAAATAATCAACCTATGTAAGCAAACATGAATGGCACAGTTACAAAGATTGACACCATTCTTTACAAGTAGCCTACATTAGTACAGCTAAAGTGTAAGTTTACACAGGCATCACCTATTCCATAAGCACTGCACTACAAAGATATAAGCTCTACTTAGAAAAGTGGTGATCTCAAAGCACTTGCATCCTAGTATGACTGTATTGGCTTGAATGTGACCTTATTGACATGCCAGGATCTACTCAACAATGGTTAATTTCTTCTGTGAACTACAACGAAGACCAAGGGGGCACTATAAGACACTAGCGTAGGAACACACTCGCTTCCATTTAAGGCAATAAATCATTTCTCATTAGGTGAAAACAGAAGAGCATTTCTTTGAACACTCATATTGTTCAGTCCATAACAAAACCCTGATACATATATTTTATTTTTATTTATTTATTTATTTTTAAATAACTAATCATCTAACACAACATAGTTTTACTTTCTGGTAGTCCATGATAGTAATCACATAAAGGGAGAACTAAAATAAAAATTGAGGCCTCTATTACATCATTCAAAACTAAAATGTCAAATGTAGGAGGGGCCAAAAAAGATGACATGTCACTAAATGACATATACAGACTTAACTTAAAACATGCATATCTAAGAGATGGTTTGAATATCTACCACTGTAAACCCTTAAATGACAACAGGGTAGCTCCCTGCAGAAAACTGTGTGAGCATAAATGAATAAAAGCCACAGAAGCTGAGGAATAAGGAGGTAGATGTATGTTATTTTTAAACCTATAAAGACTGAAGTCTAAGGCAGAAGTGTCTTGGAAGTAAATCGTGGATGAAAGCAGTAAATAAACTGGAAAAAAAGAAAGGTTTTGGTTAAAGGAATCCATCTGCTTTTGATATTAGTGCCATGACAGCTATGGCCTGAAATGTATCAGTGAAATGTATCACACAATTCATGTGTGCTTCAGTGCCAAGCCCTGGGTTTGCAAACATATATCCTGCATCTGTGTGCATCTTGTTTGTGTAGGTTAGTCTCTGCTTGGCGTGCACTGACAGCACAGCGTTTTATGAATCCTCATGCAGCTCTCGACTGTCTGTTCTGGCAATTTTTCGTGGAGGCGCCGCATTCTCCCCCTCAACTTGTTCCTGCTCTCGCTTTTTTGCCACATTCTGAAGAGTCAAGAAAAGCAATAAGACATTTAACAAACTATTAACAGCAATACAGATGTTATCTATTATCAAGGACAATGCACCAGCACATCTCTGTAACTCTCTTAAAAATCTTTACCTTTTTATCCCACTGTTGATGAAGATATCTCAACAAGATATTTGTCTTCTCTGTGACTATAACTGATTAGAGACAATGCAAGACAAAAATGTGATGGTCTCAAGCCAAAAGGAGCAGAAAAGGAAAAATGCAGTTTAAAACCTAGTTCCACTTAAAGAAATAACAAACAGGCTCAGTGATTACTTTATGGTCATCCAGAAACAAAAGGTTGTTTTCTCGTGATTGAAGGCTAAAATTGAGACAAACGTTCATAAGTGTGCTTGGAGTACACTGTTTTCCTCTAATAAAGCTACAGTATTTGATCAGTTTGGGTATGAAGAGAACTGTTGTTGCCCCTGGTCTGCAAACATCATCAAAGTCAAAGTACGTACTCTGTTCTGAGGGATATTCACGCGTTGGAAGATACACAGATGGTCGGCGGTTCTAGAACAACAGTGAGATACAGATTAGTCGGCAAATTGTCTTTTTACCTCAAACAAAATAGTAGTACTGGATTACTATGCAACAATGCAAACTTGAGTCAATGATAACGTGCTTTAATCTCAGTATCTTAAGAACAGATATAAGCACTTACTGATGCTTTACATACAGAGTCAGCATGGAACCTGCTGAAGTTGTTTTTGTTGTATACAGGTAGTCCCTTCAGGAAATCTCCCTGTGAACAGAACAGGAAGCCCGTAACAACAATATAATGCTGTATCCGTACCCACATCCACCAAGTCACGGATCCCTGGTGGTAAGGCCATAGTAATAACTAGGCAGCATGAAGATAGCGACTTTGTAATGTGGTAGCCTATATCGATATTAGGTGGTAGAGAGTATCTACAATACGTGCTGCTTGCAACCACGTCAGCAACATCTATCGAATTCAATAAAAAAATACCACTTAACACCAATAAAGAAGCAGATGTGAACCTACCTTCTCCATATCTGCTAATGTCCCACTCGTCGTTTATAAATTAGCCCAGCACAGTGAGAGTGAAAACGATCAGATACTATTTCAGCTAGCTAACTAGCTCCTAAACCTTGTCTGTCGTGGGCAAAATGCCAATCTATTTACCCGTTCGACAGCTTACTAAAATGGCTAAAGGTAATTCTGCAAAACTAAAGTTGAACGTCATCTGGTAGCTAACTTGCTACTAGTTTACACAACTCCATTTTTGTTGTCTGTTTGAGGGCGATTACCTTCCGGGAGTCAACATACCTGATTGGTTGAAGACTGGTAGATTCCTGAAGAAAAGCTAAAAGCGATGCGCCAATTGGTTAGAGTGTGATTGAGTGACAGCCCACTGCAAGTACGGTTGTGGCATGGAGGTCTAATGATAACACAAGTACTTCTGTGTCCTCTGTTGCCACCGTTGCTGTTCGCGATATGTGCGAAAATATACAAGAAATATATTACTGTTAAAACACTTTTATAAAAAACTAGAAAATAAGTTGAACAACACCATGGTACGGAAGAGAATTGGGGCTACTGTGCAGAATTTATTTGGTTTAAAACCTTTTTTTCAAAATTATGACTTTAAACTCAGAATTCTGAGTTTAAAGTCAGAATTCTGAGTTTAAAGTCATAATTCTGAGAAAAACGATTTCAGGCCCTAATCCTCTTCTGCACCATAACAGTCCTTCCTTTAGAGCAATACATTATTGATATAAATGCATATGTCAGGCATATAACATCATCTGGTCAGTTAATGTCTGTGTTTATTACTATTATGTGTTAGGAGCCAGCTGAGGTGGCTCGGGCATCTGTTTCGGATGCCTCCTGGGCGCCTTCCTAGGGAGGTGTTCCGGGCATGTCCCACCGGGAGGAGGCCCCGGGGAAGACCCAGGACACGCTGGAGGGACTATGTCTCTCGGCTGGCCTGGGAACACCTCGGCGTTCCCCCGGAGGAGCTGGAGGAAGTGTCTGGAGAGAGGGAAGTCTGGGCATCTTTGCTTAGACTGCTGCCCCCGCGACCCGGTTCCGGATAAGCGGAGGAAAATGGATGGATGGAATGGATGTGTTAGTTGTCACCCCTTATTTTCAACAGTTTCTTTGGGCTGTAAATAAAAAATGTGCATCAATCGCTGATTGATCAACAAATTGCACAACACAAAATTAATCTGCAACTATTTTGCCATAAATTCTCTGGTCCTGATTTCACCAGTGTCTAATTATACAGTACACATCTGTGTGTTTTGGACTGTTGGTTGGACAAACAATACATGTGAGGTCATCTTGGAACTGCAATAGACATTTTTAACAAATTTCTGAAATTTTATAGGCTAAATGATTGAGAAAATAAGCAGTAGATGAGTTAATAATGAATGCAATTGTTAAATGCAGCCCTGATCAAAACTTCTTCTCTTAATGCAACAAAAACAAAGTCTTCCCCTGCAGTCCATCAGTGGTAAGCACTTCTCTCCATCACAAATGCATGTATGTATGTACGGTTACATAAGTGCAGCATTTATTTCAGGGTCCACCAGAATTGGTTGTTTTCACTGGAGAACTAAGGTGACAGATTTTGCAAGAACATTTTTATTAAAGACACAATTTTATCTGTGAGACAGTTTTTATTACCTGCAAAACAAGGTAACATTTAATGACTATGGCCAAAGGTTTATAGAGATGTTGAGTAATATTTAATATATATGAAATCAAGCCCCATTAAAAAACTGAGTCAAACTATTGGGCTTATTAAACAAGACAAATGCAACTAGTTTGTCAAAAAAAAAAAAACTGGTCAATGCAATGGAAATGCCAACCTCAACCAAATTTATGTTTTTTCCCCATTTGCTGAGCAGCTCCAGTGCTTCAGAACCAATATCCAAAGTCTTAATCACTTTTCCAACAAGAACCTTCAGTGTGAAAGTGATTTCCGTCCCTTCAAGATGCGCCGTAGAATCACTTCAATGCCACTCTGTGATCTCATCCTTTTGATCCATCCATGGGTCCTCTTGCGCTTGATGTTCTTGGGCTGATACTCCAGACCTCTTTTTTTGGTTCGTACCTGCTGGTATTGCCATGGAAGCTGCTGGAACACTCCCGAACCTTCTGCTTGTGAAGAAAGTACCCCACATCTGAAAATCTGTGGTCCTGCAGTTGCTCTGGGCACAATCCAATTGCTGAGTAATCTAAGGTGAGAGCTGCCAGTTACTGCAAGTCCTGCTGCAGGGATGCTGTTGAAAGCGCACAGAAAAAAAATGTTACAAACATTATTCTGTAATATCAACATAATACCACTGTGTTTACACACGTTATAGTGCAATTATGGAGCTGCAACTTAGGTGAGGGACCCCAAGACCTGGTTTCCACCGACGTAATGATGAATTTTGGCTAATGTACAGATTGAAAAGAAATTTTAACTTCTACTTTCACTCATACCTTCCAAATGTTACTGTAACATGAAAAGTTTCGATCTCAGATGAGGCTACAACACGTCCCACTGCATCAATTTAAGTAACTACTGTAACTCTTAAAACTAACACTAATGTTGCGTACTACTGTGCATCAGTACAGTATTTCATAATATACCACAAGAACTTTGCTGTTCCTATATCTGGAATGGCCAACACATAGCTAAATATCATTTTTATTGTTACTAGCTACCTAACAAGTCAAATAGCCACGCTGGTAGCTAACCTACAGCTAAGCTAGTTTACTAATGCTGGCATCGTAAACAACCACTGTTGACTTGGCCGTTTGTCAATCATAGAAATACGTGAACTGTGTTACCTGCTGAAATGGGTTATTCCACGTAGTCGGTGAAACGATGACAGTATAATATTCATTTTCAGATATTTATACAGTTCACAAAGACATAGGTACAGCGAATGTCACAGGGCTGCTGGACACGTTCATAAAAGGAGAAATGTGATTGGCTCAGACCTTTCAGCCAATTGGGTTGCTTTTTGCTAGAGATAACATTTCTTAATCCCTGAGTAGTGCCTGTAAGGCTAAACAACATACAGTACGTAGTATTTTTACAAGTGCCGCCATTGCGTTTTACTGGGTTATTTGCAAGGCTAACGGTTCTGGCTCAAGGGCCACGGTTTGAAGCTTAGTGCCTGAAGGGCGACACTAGGCAATGTAAACAAACAAACGATGGGACCTGTGTGATGCGTAGCCTGGGAATTAATTGCTGTACTACTATCAGTTTTGGAACTGGCAATATTGTTGGCCTAAGTGTAGTCATCACAACAATGTATACATTGCCATGCAACACTACATTAATACATTTATATTTTTAATACTATAGTCTATATTTATTCTCAAGCTTTTCAGTAGGCTATATACCTTAGACCTTACAGTAAGAACTTGTGTTTAGATATATTATTTTAGTGTGAGGACTGAAGCGTGTTGATAAAAGAAAATTAGTATGTGTAGGTACACTGAACTTTTTTGTACTAATACATGTGAATTTTGTATGACCAAAATGAGGTTGCAGGCCTATGTGAGGTGTGAGAAAATGTGGTGTCATTGGAGAACTGGGTAGCACCTAAGAAAACATAAAGTGCTCATCTACAGTAGGTTCAACACAAGGTTAACACACTGGACGAGTTGTATTAGGGCTGAAAATGGCCCTTTCATACATGTCTGTGGGAGGGACGTTTTCCATATAGGCTATGCTGGCATGTTAATTGGTCTAGTTGATTTTGAAACATTTTGTTAAAACTCCTATGTTTGGCGACGTAAATATAGAGCAATAATTGTTGTTTCCACTGGCTGCCAGACATTAACAAAATCCGCAGCTGTTGTCTTGCAGGCTCCCGCCCCATAACCGTCGCAGCTGGCTGTGACAGGCACGGGACTGTCCCAGCTGTAGCTACTAATTTGTTGATGTGAGCTCCAGAGGAACACAGCCCATCTGAATCCAGTTGGTTAAAACGGAAAGGCCGTGTCTTCCTGCGGTGATGTAGCAGCCACAGGTTGTTTCTGGTGGCAGTTTGTGACGACGCAGCGAAGATGATTCAAACAGAATTTGAAATGGGATCACTCATGCTCCGCTGGTCAAGGCCACGCGCCCCATTTAGATAATTAGCCAGACTGTCATTTTATCACTTGTCAATTAACCTGACCGCGATTGCACTTTGCTTTTCTGTCAGCCTTAGCAACAAAGAAACAAACGTCTCCCATTGGCTTCGTCCCAGTACAGACACTTCTTCCATTCGTCCTCCTCACTGCCACTCAGGAGCGAAATTATCGGAAGGCTGCTGTGGCTGCTGCGGATACAAGGCTCAGTAGGGCTGGGTAGGGTCTGGCCTGGGTGCCCAGTGGATGCTGAGGGAGGAGGGAAGGAAACACGTTGCCGTTTGTTATCGTAATGTGTATCTCATTGAAATGCCGCTGGCACAATATAATGGATGCATGCTTTATCACCATTGCAACCCCCTCCGTGTTCTGTCATAGTCTAATTAGGCTAATAATTCATTGCTGTGCAGCATCTAGCGTAGACGAATTGTTGCACCAAATGCAGCGTTTTTCGCAGTTCAGTTTTGTCAGCCCTTGACTGTCATCTTTTGGTGCAGATTTCTAATAACCCTTAATCATCAGTAATTCCGCAGGTAAGTACTCGATTGATATTGCACTGTATTGTACATTATGTAATTATTGCCGTCTGCATCACTAAACTCTGCACGATGGCTGCATGTATTTGTCCTGCGGCAGCGCAAAAATAATCTATCAATAATACAAGAGTAGCAATTATGGCCTTGCGCACAAGACTCCCAGTGTTTTTGTGATGCAACGCTGGGAATACAGTAGGTTTTGTATATTTGCCTACGCGTTGCTGTACATTTTTATTATTGTGGAACATGATACTTAATAGGCTACGCGATTTAAGTCAGATTAGCCCTACTGAAATATGGAGCTTCCGTTTTGGCTACTGCGCTTTACTGTTTGATATTTTCGAGTCACATTCTTGTAGAACCAGTTAAGCTAGGGGTTATTTGTGCACTAGGGCCTTTTAACATAAAGAATATTGTAGTTGTCTGATATTTTGTGAATATACGCACTTTTACTCTGCGCGGTGCTGCACTGTTTGCAAGCCCACGCTGTAAAAATGGAGCAGCACTCAGTGTACCAGATGTGTGTAAGACTATGCAAGACTTGGCATACATATTAACCTATATTGTCCATTTTCATTGTACAAAAATGAAAATGTGCTTATGGTCGACCGTATTAAAGGATAGTAGGTCAGGAGGAGACTGTGCGAATGAGATGTAGTGTTACCTTTTATCCAAACAGTTAAACAGCCGTAGATGAAATTGTGTTATGCTGTCGGAATGTTCACATGAGTGACCGCCTCAGGACCTTCAGTGGACATCTGTACCGCATCATGAACCAGCTGATGTCGCCTAACTGGTTAATAACATAATAAACACAAAACTGGTTATGAGCCGTCACAGATGGGTAGATAGGTAGGTAGGTGGGTAGATAGGTGGGTAGATAGGTAGGTAGATAGGTAGGTAGACAGATGTACAGACTGACAGCTGAATCCAGCTGCAGTTTGTAGTTTCTGTTTGCGTCACTGGATGGACTGACCTTCAGACCACCCCCTACCAATAACAACAACACATGCGCAGAGACACAGGCACACGTGAACCTTCTTGTGCAGATGTAGACATGCATTAAGTAAACTATAGGTACATTTTCCCTGGCTGAAGTGCCAGACCTCTGAACCACTGTGCATTAAAAGTCTGTTTCATTGATTTACCATAGCCATGCTGTTATTAAAGCTTTAACTTAGCTGACTTTCCCATAACCAAAGTCAAATGGATGGCAAAGAAATATTGCAAATGTAGTATATAAACCTGCATCTGAAGGTGATTATATATTATATATCCATATATACATATATGCTATATGCTTTTAATTTGGAAAAAGCTTTACTATCATGAATAGGGAATTCCAGCATATTAAAAAAATATTATTTAACATATTATAGTTATTTTATAATTATCAATTTGGATTTATTAGTTTTTGTCAACTTGCCTGGATGCTTAGAATTCCTTATTAAATATATTATGTAGGAAGCATGACTGAAGCAGTGGTATCTGTCCTGTGCTGTGTTTTGTTCCACAGTTTGTCTAATCAGGAAACAACAAAGCCTTACCATGTCGATGAGACACTTCCCACTCGTTTTCCTAGAGATAACCACCCTGTGTTTGTATGAAACATGGGGATTAATGATGTTTTTTTCCCTCAAAGATGCCGAAACATAGTTTAGTTGTGACTGATGAGCAGAACAACAATGGTCATGTGGGTGGTATGGTGGAGCAGTGTTTTTTCTGTTGCCTCTCAGCAAGAAGGTTCCGGGTTTGAGCTCGGGCCAACACAGGGCCTTTAAGTGTAGAGTTAGCATATTCTTCCTGTGCCTGCGTGGGCTCTCTTCAGGTACTCCAGCCTCCTCCTACAGTTCCAAGACATTCAGCTTAGGCTTAGGGTTGATTGGCAAATCTAAATTGTCCATAGGAGTGAGTGTGGGTGTGTGGTTGTCTGTCTCTGACTGGCGACCTGTACAGGGTGTACCGTGCCTCTTGGCTAATGCCAGCTGGGATTGGCTTCAGCCCCCCCATGACCCTCTTCAAGATAAGTGGTAATGGAGGGATGGATTTTTCTGTCATCTCCTTTGGAAACAGAATACCCTGGAAAACTGCTGTCATAGCCTAATACTATGAGAGACAGGGTTTGCAGGGATGCAGTCATGCCCCATGACTAGTGCTTTCCATTTATATATATCCCGATTCCAACCATGTGAACAGGAGAGGTTATTATTAGCAAATAGCTACATGAGAATAGTTAGTCTTCACTGACATTGACACTGCACTAAGGAACAAGTATTAATTTTGTCCTAAGTTTATGAATGGGGAGTCTGAATGTTAAGCTGCTTTGCCACCCAGGTGAGTGTGTCAGTAAAGCTTTTTACAGAGGCCATTGGTACTGCATTGAAGCTTGGTATGGTGTTTTGAATTTGCAAAGCAGTGTGCATACTGTTAAACTGAAATCATCCTTGCTCACTGGTGTGGAAATTGAATCCATTTGTAATACTTATGTTTCAAATTGTGAGAAAAAAAATTTGTTGGTAAAAGCTAATCAGAGCAGGGCAACAGTCTTCACAAATGCACCCCATGTTCATCTCTGTCCTTTTCATAAACCTAATGTAATAATCCTGTTGTTATATTTTACATGAAACAACTGAGTGGTAATATGCTTTGCTGTATCTGTGCAATGTTGTTTCTGCAGGGAGGCACCATGCTGACCAGCATCACTGAAGGAATATTGTGCTGCCTGACTGGGAAGGCTGCCAGTCTGGTCTTGCCCCTGGAGTCATCAGAATCCTCTGATGGGTTTGAGTTTGTGGAGGTGAAACCTGGAAGGGTCCTGCGAGTGCGGCACATCATCCCAGAGCGGCGTCCTGCAGCAACGGAAGAGCAAGTTTCTGCCAAGGAGAAGTCGGACGGTGACTGTAATGATGATGGTTCTCCTGAGGATTATAATAATGAGAGTAATACTGGCACCAGTGTCCACTGCAAGAGGAAGATCACAGTCTACCGCAATGGCCAGCTGGTTATTGAGAATCTTGGTGATGTTTTACACTCTGAAATACTGCAATGTCAAGATGGAGATCTGGAGCCCTGTAGCACTGTAGAAGTTGAGCTGGCTGACTACAAAGAAATGGCCTCTTCTCCAGACCCCAACCCTGTTCCTCCTCCAGTTCCTCCACCTCCTGGGGAGCAGAAACCTGCTCCACCTCCTCGTCGCCGACGCCGCAAGCCCAAGCGCATGGTGCTTATTGATTCAAAGAGGGTGATCTCAAGCTGCAAAGGGACACACTCGGATGTAGCGCTCTTCTTTGTGCATGGTGTTGGAGGCTCTCTGGACATTTGGAACAGTCAGCTGGACTTCTTCTCTCGGCTGGGCTACGAGGTCATTGCACTAGACCTGGCAGGGCATGGAGCCAGTATTGCCCCACAGATAGCAGCGGCTTATACTTTTTATGCCCTGGCAGAGGACCTACGTGCCATCTTTAAGAGATATTCTCGTAAACGCAACATTCTCATTGGCCACTCATATGGGTGAGATTTTGTTAGATGCTTTTGTTATAAATCATTCCCCACTGGAAGTATCTCTGAAAAAAATCTACAGGTGATCAAAGTAAACTTTCTGTGTGCTGTCCCCATCCCATTATATCTTTTCCAGAGTGTCATTTTGTACCTTCCTGGCCCATGAATATCCTGATTTGGTCCATAAGGTGGTGATGATCAATGGAGGTGGTCCCACAGCTCTGGAGCCCAGCCTCTGCTCCATCTTCCAGCTGCCATCATGTGTCCTTCACTGTCTGTCACCCTGTTTGGCTTGGAGCTTCCTCAAGTAAGAACTTCATTTCAGTAGTTAAAAAAAACTGACATGAGAAACAGCAAAACACCATGACATAAAGTAGTCCTATAAATGTCAAAACATTTGACAAATGATTTAGAAAAGCATAAGAATTATGTACAACTTTCTAACATTCATAATAAAACCATACACCTACAGTACCAATTGCAGGTTAACATTTCTTCTTGCTCATCCGCAGAGCTGGATTTGCCCGTCAGGGTGCCAAAGAAAAGCAGCTGTTGAAGCAGGGCAATGCCTTCAATGTGTCTCCATTTGTTCTACGAGCCATGATGAGTGGCCAGTACTGGCCTGAAGGGGATGAGGTCTACCATGCCGAACTCACTGTGCCCATCCTTCTGGTTCATGGCATGTGCGATAAGTTTGTACCTGTGGAGGAGGATCAGCGCATGGCAGAGGTATAGTACATCTTTAAATGTTAATAAGTGCTAATATATCTTGTGTATTGTTGCCTGTTGTAAAGTTCTGCAATCATTTTGACTCCTTTTCTAGATCCTCCTGTTTGCATTCCTAAACGTCATTGAGGAAGGAAGTCACATGGTCATGATGGAGTGTCCTGACACTGTAAACACCCTCCTCCATGAGTTCTTTCTATGGGAGCCTGACATGTCCAGAAAAGACAGCAGCAAGACAGACACAGAGAAGACAGTTGCTGTTAATGACTGTCTGCACACACTCAAAATCAACAGACCTATGGACAAATAACCAGCAAGGAGTCTAGTTTTATCCCGTAATCAAGCGGAAGGCTATTTTCAGCAGGTGGCATGTATTCTTATGGCTGCTCTCAGACAAAGAGCAGTTTATACAGTGTCACATCTTCAGGTTGTGGACAGCCACTGGTGCTTCAAGATAAAGTGGGACTTAGGCATGGTGCCAACTAAAGAATGGTACAACAAAGACCAAGCCAAGATGGATGTAAGACGGATGCAAAATACGCAGTCAGTTTCTGCTTCGTTTTTTTTTTTTTGATATGGATATGTACTCCACTGCGTCATGTTTGCAAAGCAACACAATACCTGGTGATCAAAAGGACTACAGTATGTCCATTTGTGATATGTGTATTAAATATTTCTGGTGAAGAACTGACTTCTAGATCATGCAAAAGGCATTAAATCCATGAAATGGTGTCTGAATTTTCTCACCTTTATCTTAAATGTTCTGTAAAGTTCTGCAGAGCTTGTGGCCTAACCTTTATGGAATGATTATTATGGCCCCTATTATGTGTGCTTTCAATGAGAAGCTGGTAAAGTAATACTGTATGTACTGGACTGGGGAATTAAAAATGTGATTGGCCTGAATGAAGCTGAAGGACAGCTTATAATGAAATTAAAGTCTTGATGATAAGAATAATTTATTATTCAATACTGACAGGAAGGTAGTGGAAAATGTGTTACAGACATTAAATAAATACCAATGTACATATAAAGTGTAATTAATTGCACCATTTACATAAATTCAAGTATGCCTGAAAGAGGAACACATAACTCTAATATAAAGTCAACATTAAAAAACTATTTGTGTCTACAGTACAGCAAGCATAATGTAACCAGTTCAGCAGTTCACAGTTGCATGAAACTTATTTAATGAGAGATTTATGTGAACTGTGCAAAAACAGTTGTTAATAACAGACATGGAAGACAAAATGTTCTGCTTCTTTAATTTAATTTCTTCAATACTATGTAATATCCTAAAGATACAAAGTAACACGGCCCTAAAATGTATCAGGGTTGTTTCTGACAGCAATATATTCTGATTGAAAATTTCCCAGCACACTCCTCTGTAATCAAATGAGTGTTCCTCTTAATGTCTATGTATTATTTTGCCTCTATTTTGAAATAACAGCAACTGCCGTAAGGAGCTGTGGTTGTATCGACTGCTTTAAGTTGTTGTGTGTCTAAGTTGATAAATGCAAAATAAGCATGTGTTCCTCTACACTACTGTCCAGTCCAACCAAATTATCTAATAGTGTCAGACTGGCAGAAAGAGCTAAACATTATGCTCACTTAAAGACATTCATTCATGGGTGTGGTTTTGTCTCATAGTGGGACAGTAAGGTGCGAGTAAAAACAGTCTGATATGCTCCCTGACATCTTATGACTGGATTATCTTAAGACTGGATAGTTTATTCTATTTTGGTAGAAATAAAACTGGGTGTCCAGTGCTTGAAATCAACTATGAGTCTGCCAAAGGAGAAGATTCCCTTAAAAAGAAGGGTATTTGTATTCACCATGATGGTCTGTTATATATGCATTTTGACAGAATTTGAATGCAGCAGGAGTGGTATTATGCAACTGGAACAAAATAGAGAGAAACAGAGGGGAAATAAACTGAATGGCACTCACACCGCTAAAATGTTATTATATTCTCTGGACTCTCCAAGGACCGACAAATGCTGCTGATGCAATATACTGTTTCCTTTGTTGTATAACTGTATGGACTACAGGGTGCACATATACTTCCTCTTATGCTAAGTGTGCATATACACAAATTGTCAGTGCTCATATATGTGCTGTATCTTTTTGTGGTTAACAAAATGTGTTAAAGTTATTGTTGCATTTATTAATAGGAATCATAATATATGCACTTCCCAAATGTAGATGCATATAACTTGATATAGCCTATCAAAACAGTTGGATTTAGTGTATGAATGTGCCTTTTCTGGCATGAATTAAAACAGATGTTCACAGCATACAGGTATTTTTTCTTGTGTTTCTTTGCAGTAATATAAACAAATGTAATTTCATTACAAATAAAAAATGTCAATAATAGATTTAACACTAAAATATCACAAATAGTTTTAAAAAATTGAACAAAGAAGGTAGACTAGGTTATTTGTCCACTGTAATTATTACACAGTGCCTATAGTCGGAGGCATACAGGATACAGCTACATCACTGTTATCACATTATCTTTCCTGATTATATTTAATAAACACAATTTCCTTTCATATCCCTAGTGCTGCTAATATAACTTTAACTTAATTAAAATTAAATGTTAAGCAGATGTCCTTGTGATCAGTAGGATCAGTAGTAAATAAGTATTACTAGCATATTAATGTAACATGTTTGAATCAAAACAAAATTTGTTTTGGTTGGCCCTGAAGTTTTCTCAGTATAGCCTATGTAGACCAGTATTACAATCACTTAAAACCTTTAGTCACTTTAATTTTGTAAAGGATATACATATTAACTTGTTATTAAATTGATTGTTCTTATGCCGTCGATTATTAATGTTAATTACAACTGACCCAAGATACTGTCTATTTTTGTAGTGCTTTGGATTAACTAATGTTTTCATCCATCTAACGACGAGCCATGAGAATAACCCTATGATTGGCTGAGCGTGTCCCATGCGTGTTGTGGTAAACAAAATCCGATGTGCGTGTGCATGCGTAGAAGTGGTAATGGAGGATAAGTGGTCTACTCACAAGGGGCTTAGTTAGCTAGCGGTCTTCTTTTTCTTCTGTTCGCACCTACTGTTTGTATCGAATACGACGTATTTACATTGCCGGGTACAACTTCTGAAGCAACCGAGGAGAGGTGGTGAGTATTTGCATATCGAGTTATTTTACGGTCGTACCAGAATGTTAGCTTCTGAACTCACAATGCTAATCTGATGGCTAAACTAGCAGGAACTGTTCCACAGCTAATGTCGATATAACGGGTAGGTATAGTCTATTTCACGGGAAACACATCAATGACTTAGTGAATGATAGTTTAGCTGATCTTATTATATTTATAACTTAATCGATTGTTGAATGACACTTTCAAGAACAAGCCAGCTGTAATTGTACGACTTAATATTTCTTATAATAAAAACGGTAATGCTGTCTCTGTCCAAGCTTGTTCACAACACACGAATTAACTGGATAGGTTGTAACATAGCTATGGCGAATTGTGTAATACAGGTAATAGTCACATCCCATTATGGTGTTAATGTTAGCTACCGTAGCTATCTTGTAAATGTTATTTTTTCATTTAACGTAAGACATGATGTGAAAAGTAAATGTTCATTTTATTTTCAGTGAGTTACTAACTGTTATGCGTTAATTTCTATTGTCATGTAACGTTACTAGGACTAAATGGGACTCGAACACTAGTAGTGCTATGCTATTCATGCTAGGTGGCTAGCGTAGCTTAATGCTACGCTGTGTTCCATTGCACATCCGAATTCGTTCGTTCCGGTAGCTGCTTAGCACTTGAGCTAATGTTAACTGGCTGGGCTTCTACAGTCGGGCTGAATTAAAGAGACGCTTAGAGGCTTAACCAGTTAGGGGCGGTAACATCTTTTCTCATCACTAGCCAGGCTAGCTTGTTCTCTGCATAAACTGTACGGTTTCTGCCATAGTTAGGAAACATGCACAGACGCATATTCTACAACAGAATTATTCAAGTAGGCGCGTGCTACTGTAAGAACCAACGATATCAAGACTAAAAAAGGTAGAAGGAATCTGCTTTGCAGTGTTACGCCCACTTTAAGCTGTATTGAGTACTCGTCGTCACTCAGGTTACCAAGCAGTAGGTATAAGGAAATTTGAATACAGTTGCCAGCCACGTTATGAAATCCTGAAACAATGTGCTGAAATATAGAGGTATAACCTATTATGACTGCTTAGTACAAAACATTTTTAATACAGCATGTTGTGTTGGGCATAGGATTGCAGGCTCAAATTTAGGAGAGGTTCTTGGTTGTCAATTGTTGTTATTACAAAATGTAAAGTACAAAACATTTTTAATACAGCATGTTGTGTTGGGCATAGGATTGCAGGCTCAAATTTAGGAGAGGTTCTTGGTTGTCAATTGTTGTTGTTATTACAAAATGTAAAAAAAAAAAAGAAGACATAATAAAATAACAGTTGTCTTCCTTTACAATGTGCAGGAGCTACCACTGAGTATTGGGATGGCAGCAGACATGGTTTCCCTAAACCATGGTTCCAAGGGGATCCTGACATTTTACCCCACTGCTGATGAATTTAAGAACTTCAGCCGCTACATTGCATATATAGAGTCCCAGGGAGCACATAAAGCAGGCCTGGCTAAAGTAAGTAATACAGTGCATGTGTTTAAGTGGGGTCATTTTTATTAGTGGAAAAAGAATGGTGTGCATTTGTAAAATTAAAAATGAATAATTATCAGTCACAACATTATAAAAGCTATCAGAAGATTGTCTTGTATCTGATTTTAAAATTGTTTAGACAAATAAGGTATGGTCTTTTATCTGATTTTCTTTAAAATTGTTTAGACAAATAAGGTATTCTGTTCTTTTGAGTCCATCACTACCATCTTTGTTATAGTGCAACGTACAACCATTTACCAACTGTTTCTGTGACATATATCCATCCTAACGGGACTAGGAAGCTATCAAAAATGCATGGGTAAAGCATTTCAATGAGGAATCATAAATAAGGGAGAATCATTCACAGTGCAAGTTGGCACACATCAAATGCATAATAACAACGTGTTGTGGTTAACTGACAGGAAAAGCTTAAACTTGTTGGTAAACTGGGCTATAACCATGTCTTAGAAGAAAAACTAGCCTTTAAGACCTTTTTTTTTCCTCAACAGAAATACAAGTGTGCTGCCTGTCTCATTCCGACAGCCCGAAATTATATAGTGTCAATTTAAATGGGTCACGATTTAACTGTTGCATCATCTCCAGGTGTCTTTTATTCATTTTTAAATGCTCAAAAATATGTTCCTGTCACTCTTTTGCATTTAAATACTGATATTGTGTTCGAAATCATCAGTGAAGTTCATGCCAGTTGATTTTCTGACAGTCTAGGCTGTATATTAGAAAAGGAACAAATAGTCCTACTGAAAAGCCAACTAACGGTCGACAGAGAAAATAATTAGTTGGGTACAGCCCTAGCTGTAATCAGGTCTATAGACCAGCAGCCTCCAAACCTTTGCTTGAGACTAGGGTTGTCACATTTTCCAAAAATCATATTTGAACAAGGTTTGAACTGATACGCAATTCATTAAAATTAATTTGAATGTACCCCCCATCCCCCACAAAAAAGTATAGATTTTTTTTAATGAAAAAATATTAGTACCCCTTGCTGCTTTTGGCTGATTTATGCACTATGTCAGAAGAGCATAGCTAAGATATCATGATATGCTGCAGGGGTCGGACAGTCAGGTGAAGCTATAGAATCAACGTTTCTCCAAATGTCTGTGGTAGCCTTAACTTTTCGTGCCTCACTGTTTACCTTAACACCAGTCTGGTATCACTATTGTCTGATTTGCACAACTTTGCTTGCTATTGTCTTGCATTTTGTCCTTGCAAACATAGTTAGTATCTTATTTTTACTGAGAAGTCAATAGGACTAACTGATCAAGCTGACAGTGAATTTCTGAAAATAATGTCCTCTGCTGGACCACAAGGACCACAGCCTGTTGCACTTACTGACATAGCATACATTGTTAGATTTGAACAGGTCATTACAGTTCGAATGTTTTTTTTTACACCACATTCGAAAGAATATTCAAAATTCGAATGAGAAGTGACAGCACTACTGGTGACTAATCTTAATAAACAGTGATGAAAATGGTGGAAAAAATAACTCCTTGTCTACTTTTCTCCTTCAAGATTGTTCCACCAAAGGAATGGAAGCCTAGGGGTTCTTATGATGATATAGATGATTTGGTGATACCCGCACCCATTCAGCAGGTGGTGACTGGCCAGTCGGGCCTTTTTACACAGTACAACATTCAGAAGAAGGCCATGACTGTCAAAGAGTTCCGCAAGATTGCCAGCAGTGACAAGTGAGAAGAGAAATAATACATTTAAGCCTTTCATGTTTTTTATTTAGCTGTCAGAAAATCAGTTTCATCTACAATTGAATACCCTCAACTGTATTTTTAATCTTCCTATACTGAAAGTTCATTTATGCTGTTGGCACTCCATTAATTGTTAATGCCATTTATAGGTTCTGTAGTCCACATTATGATGACTTTGAGGAGCTGGAAAGGAAGTACTGGAAGAATGTAACATTTAATGCTCCAATATATGGGGCAGATGTCAATGGAACCCTGTATGACCCTGTGAGTTAACAGTCCTTAGATGTTGTTGCTGTTCATAACTGTTGATTGGTTTTCTGCTGGCCTGATACAGACAGGATACTGATTGCATTTGCTGAGCATGCTATTGCTCACCACCACTTAAATTCTCATTTGCTGAGCTTGTATTTTGCTGAACCCCCTGCAGGAAGTCAAAGAATGGAACATTTGCCACCTGGACACCATTTTGGATACTGTTGAACATGAAAGCGGCATCACTATTGAGGGTGTTAATACACCTTACTTGTATTTTGGTATGTGGAAGACCACCTTTGCATGGCATACTGAGGACATGGACCTCTACAGTATCAACTACTTGCACTTCGGAGAGCCCAAATCATGGTAAAGACACAAATTTTTATTTTCCTGTTCAGATGTAGAAATAAAACTTTCATTTGTTAAACATTCTAAAATCTTTTTTTTTTTAAAATAAATATAAAATTAAGTAAAGTCTTTTTCTATGTCTGCTTGAAATATGTGGTGTTACAGCAATACTACGTCTGCTATTAGATTAAGCTGTTAATTCAAAACCAGAAGTGGGTATCATTTACATAAGTAAGAGCCCTTCACACAGAAACAGAGTGTCGCTACAGCACTGATGCAGCATGGGGTCCTGTCCCAGAAACTAAATGAAAGTTATTTGAGCACATGGATAGATGCAAAATTCACAGTATCTTTTTACTGTTAATAAGATTCATTTGATTATCTGCAGGTATTGTGTTCCTCCAGAGCATGGGAAAAGATTGGAGCGCCTGGCTAAAGGTAGGAAACCAGTGGAATATTTTCAGTAGATGCATATATAGTATGAAGCTATGTTAACTATGTTGGGATCTGGGAACCTTGTAGTTCTCTATGTCAGTGCAACATCTTCCTGCTCTCTCCTTTTCAAGGATTCTTTCCTGGTAGTGCTCAAAACTGTGAGGCCTTTTTGAGGCACAAGATGACTCTTATCTCCCCCTCTATACTGAAGAAATATGGCATTCCGTTTGAAAAGGTATGAGTAGTAAGTTTGTTAATTTGTATTTGAAATGGGGGGTCTCATACTCACAACATTAAACAGCTCTTTAAAGTGCACTTAAAATCATTTTATTGCTTTTTTTTCTCAGATTACTCAGGAGGCTGGTGAGTTTATGATAACTTTCCCCTATGCTTATCATGCTGGTTTCAACCATGGCTTCAACTGTGCAGAATCCACCAACTTTGCCACAGAGAGATGGATTGAATATGGCAAACAGGCAGTTTTGGTGAGGACCGCCAAATGACGGCATTGAAAACCATACTTAACTGAATTTGAGTCATATTTTGTCTTGTCAGTGAAAGTATGCACATATATATATACATTCATATAATTAACTGTATGTTTGTAGATAGACATGCAATAATAGTGCCTGTAATATTCATCATTTGAGTCAGTCTTTTTGTGCCTTTATCACCTGTAGTGCTCATGCCGTAAAGACATGGTGAAGATTTCCATGGACGTATTTGTGAGGAAATTCCAGCCAGAACGGTATGAACAGTGGCTGGCAGGGCGAGATGTGGTACCTATTGACCATTCACGGCCCACCCCGGAGGCTAAGGAGTTCCTGGGGGAGTCTTTCAATGACATCAGCAGTAGTAGTAACTGTAGCTCTGTGGAGAGCTGTGGGGAGGACGGAGAGCGGAAGAGGTGGGTAATTTACAGCAGAAAAGAAAAGCCTACTATGTATGTGTTTCTGTGTTGTTGTTTTTTTGTTTGTGTGTTTGTTTGTTTAGTTTTTGTTCATGTTTATACAGTGAAGTGTAGTAAATGTTTGGAATAATTTGTTACTTGCATATTTTGCTCTTTCTGCTGGGAATACCTTTGGTTATGCCAGCCAAGGAAAGTCCATTGACATCATGTGACTGGAGGTCATCATTCCTGTGTCCTTTTGTTGTTGTCTTGTCTTGCATCAGTATAGCTGTATTATCTCAACCAACCAAGATTCCAACTGTGCTACAACAACAGATGGAATAAATACCAGATTTTATTAGTAGCCAATCAAAATTCCCATATTCTGTATGTGTACCATGTTGACAACATTTAACAGATGTCCTTTTTCACTGCCGTTCAGAGTGTTGCCATTCAAAATGAAATAGTTGTTAAATGGAAGTAAAATGAATTTATTAAAACCATGAGCTCAAGTTAAGAAACAGACAGATTTACATTTCTTATAAAAAGCTGCCCATAAGTTAGACAGATTGACATTTCTTATAAAAAGCTGCCCATAAGTACTATGACACATTAAACATACACTAAATGTATGTTGAAAAATGATAATATTTAGTATAAACCTTGTATTGGACTAAAAAGAATATTGATTCCATAGTACAGATTTTCATGTAAATGAAAAGGCGGTATTTTGTTTAAATTTAGCTGTAAATCCTGTTGGGAAATATTCTCCAGAATATGCATTTGCTAAAAGATAAGGCTGGTCATTTTCTGTATTAGCAGTATTTTCAACACTCCCCATTAGGGTTGCAACGGTATGAGATTTTCACTGTATGCTAACCGCCTTGGAAAATTTCACGGTTTCATGGTTTTTTATCGGCTACAACAACCCACAAAAGAATGAAAACAAACGAGGCCTTTTTTATTGCGAGTGACTGTGCCAGTTGATTGAGCTGGACTGCAGCGCTAGATTGACCCTAAAGAATAAACAATTATAAATATGACCAAAAAAGCACATAACTATAACATGTTGTATAACTAAAGCATTTTAGTTTGTATGGTAGCACCACCATTAAAAGTACTACTTTTACACCCTCAAAGAAAATCTCTGTTACAAGTAAAAGCCCTGCAATAAGCAAATGTGCACGTATGATGACATTCAATTGTTATCATACATGATAACATTATCATATCAATTTTCATACCATGGTACACCGTGAAAGTGGGATACCACTGCAGCTCGACTCCCCATACAGAGACTAAAACCAATAGTGAATTGCCTGCCTCTACTTACGGTTAATGTTTGCCAGATTCCAACCTGAATTAGCTTATTCGTCTGTGTCATAGACCTCTGCTGCTGTTCAAAAACATCAGTCAAAGCCACAGCAGCACTAGGCGACATGTTTCTTCATTACGAAACACACGGCCCGCATATTTGCGGTGCTTACTTTCACTTTTTTACTTTTCAAATTATGGTTTTGATTTGACCTAGATGAGTAAGGAATTAGTAAACAGGCCATCTCAGCATCTCAGACAGTTATGATTTCTTAATATTAATCATAAACATGCTTTTCTTGCCTTTTCTTATTTTCATGGTATGAACATCCCTGGTAATGTCAGTCTCTCTGAGCTTTGTTGGAGCAGACATTGGTACAGTCCAGTCTCACTTTGGTAAAATTCCAACAGGTGGCAGTCACAGCTTGCCAGGTAGACCCCAGTGACCATCTGACATGTTGTCGACAGTGTGTGTTGCATATAATAAATAAAGCATTGCTCAGCCCTTCACATCAGTGCCATCACCAGCTTAGCGGACAAGGTTGGGTTGTCCCTGATTCCAGCTGTGAGATGCAGGTGTTGCAGTTGGTTTACCACCTGCACTGTCAGCAGGCGCAGATGTTAAGCCAAATGTTGCAGTTATCATGCAGGTTTAGAAAGACATTGACCAAAAGCTTGACTTGAGGTTATATAATTAAGGAAGGGAATTTTAAAAAATCTTAATGTTTAAATGGCTGTTGGATGACTGACTCCATGCAGTGAATTAAATTAAGCAGTCAGCATCACAGTTGCTCAGTTTTTTTCTATATTGCATTATTTTAGTATTTTTATTTCGATTTTCAATCTCAGTTTCTGTGAGGTGTGCTAATAAGAACATGTTTAAATTTTATTTTGTTTCAGAGGTAATTGTAATATTTTTGTTTTAACAGTTATTTACAACAGATATCCATCTTACTGTTTCACTGTGTGATTATGTTGTCAAAGGACATAAACGACAAACCAGAAAAAAATAGAAGAATGTCAAACTAGATGTTTCTGATTTGTGTTTATGGTCATTTTCAATTACTAAAACATCCATTCATAATCTATACTGCTTATCCTGAAGAGGGCCACAGGGGGCTGGAGCCAGTCCCAGCTGACATTGGGCGAGAGGCAGGGTACATCCTGGCCAGGTCGCCAGTCTGTCACAAGGCTGACACATAGAGACAGACAGCCACACACACCCCCACTTACTAGTACAGGCAATTTAGAATCACTTAACGAAACGTGCGTTTTAAAAAGTAACCAGTGGCCTGTACAGTTCCCTAATATTTTAAAGCTAATGGTCATGTGATGTGTTTTCATCTGTTTCTAATCCACTGCTATGTCTTCATTTGATAACCCCTCAGCACTACACAGAGGATAGAGACCAAGAGACATAGGGTATGTCTGGAGGTGCCTGAGGAGGTGGTTCCAAAGGATGAAGACGAGGAACAGTATGGGAAGCGTCCCAGGCTAAGCCTCATTCCACCACGTATAATGTCACAAGATGGCAAGAGAAATAAAGGTATTACTCTTTTTATTACTCTTTTCCTGTAGAGCAGCTGAGCTTTTTATGGTCATTTTGTGATGAAAGAAGTGGAAGTCAGATGAGAGTGCAGTAAACCAAGGCCTCTGATTTAATTTACAGGCCCACCAAAATTGGTTGTCACACCAACCAAGCTCACTTTAATGGATCCATTTCACAGGGGGCTAACCCAAAGTAACAGCGACGGAGGCCGCCCCCCTCATTATACCAAGACTCGTGCACCTGCGATTTCTTCTCAGCACAGAAATAGTCATCTATCAGTTTCAGTGACACCTACATGGACAGAAGCTATAGCTCAGCCTGCCCGCAAAATGGGAGTAGCTAGCCTGCTGTTTCACAGGACACTCAGTCCAAAAGACACTCTTCAAGTGCACAGCTACACTCTGGTAAAGCAGCAGCAGCCTCACACACAGCTTCAGGTGCACAGCTATGCCAGAGAGCATCAACCCCGTCACCTCCAGCACAAAACCTGTGCACTCTCACAAACACGGGTTCAGTCTTCATCTCAGGCACCAAGTTGTGATGGAACAGAGCCACAGCAAGAATCTAAAATCATTCTTACTGAAGTAGCATTGACTGAATTGCAAGCAAAGAGTCCTGTGGAGCAGGACCCAGAAGAGGACAAACCCAAACTGTCAGCACCTGTTGTGGCTCAGGCTGAAGTGGAGACACCTGAAGTTGAGCCCATCAACAAGTCTGCTTCCTGCCAGACTCAACAACAACTTGAAGAATTGAGCGAAACAGCAGTGGAAGATCCCAAGAACAACAAGCGAAAGGTCTGTTATTTTTCTTTTAGGCACATCACAGATGCTACAGATAAAGATATTACAGTCATTTGAAATGTTTGTGATTTTTGGCTTTCTGTGGCACTCTGTGCAGTGACACATGAATATTTTAGCACAGATTATGTTGTATGGTGCATCCACTGTCATGCCCGTTGAGCTGAAACAGCTTTTAGCCTTCTATTACTATTGTGCACATGGAAACTAAAAAAAAAACAAAAAAACAAAAAAAACCAGCAGCATGGTGGCTCTGTACTGGCACATTTTCCTTGCATGATGTTAGTGTACTAATTTCTTAGAGCATAGCATCATTTATTCCTACTAACAGAACGGTTTTTGATGATCGCTCTGCTGGCAGAATACACTTTATCAGGCAGGCATTATTCTAAAATCTGCGATTCATGCTGTTCGAATTACAGAGTAACCAGTGCCCCTTTGGGGACAGTGGCATTATCATCCTGAAAGACACCGTTCCTGTCAAGAAATCAGGTCATGATGAGATGGTGATCGCTCAAAATCAGCATGTAAGTAGTAATTAGCCATAACCAAATTCTCAAAAAGCTTCTTTTACGTTGTCAATTCAAGGTGGGGTTATTGCCCCGGTTTTCCACCACAGTGTTCTGTATAAAAGCTCCCAAACCAGCATGAGTGGTCAATGTTGACCCTTCTTTATTCCACCATGAGAAGTACAGTTCAACTCGAGTCCATTTTTAACACCAATAAAGCAGAATCTCTGTCTAAAAGAGGCAAAGGCATGATTGGCCCTGTTTTTTCCCCTTCAAATATATGCATACCAGTACAGAGCTCCCAGTATGCCTTATAGTAGGGAGACATCATGGCAACTGATGTTACTACATTCATTGTTACAGATACAGTGTCATTTCTGTTTTGAAATGTTGTCTTGCTGTGCACTTGTTGCTCCAGCAGGTGTTAGATGAGCAGTCATACTGCAAGTCAGTGGTGAAGAAGCAACAGCAGCAGGCACAGCTCCGCAAGCTGCCTCGCCACCACCCAATAATCAGAGAGGTGCACAGTGACGACGGTACGCTGTTGTTTCGTCTGTATAGTGCAGGAGTATGTTGTGTGCCATATACTGAGCACTCTACTTACAGCAATAAGTTTCGGTCCTATTTTCAATGTTTTCATTGTTTCTACAAAATTTTGTTTTAATCAATTATGTTAGATCTCTTCATCCAATTCCAAATCCACTTAACGAATGTTCCTAAAACCTGATTCTTAAACCACCATCTGCCTCTTTTATTCACACTACCCCTCTGTCCTGCCATTTTATGTATAGAAGTGTATGTAGAAGTGGAGGTCGAGCAAGAGGAGAAAGAGGAGTGGGCAAAGCCTCTAACCCAGCTGTGGCAGTGTCGTCCTTATAACCTTCAGGCAGAGATGGAGTACAATAAGAGCATGGGCAAACAAGCCCCTTACTGCTCCATCTGCCTGCTCTTCCACACTTACCATCAGGTGAGAACTAAAAGCATTTTCTCTTTTAATAAGGTTAGTTGTGTTTTGTTACTATGCTTTTACATCAGCTTTTAGTGGACAGTCGCAGTTAATACCTCACAAGGTGCATTTATTTGGCATTTACAGAAATAAACCTTTGATTTACACAAAAATAAGGGCATTTCAGACAAAATGGCACGATGGACTGTAGTTCAATGGGTTGTAATTATTCATAATCAGTGACAGCTAGAACAACTAAGTCTTTTTTGGGGGCGGCTGTGGCTCAGGAGGTAGAGCGGGTCATTTCCTAACCGGAGGATTAGCGGTTCGATTCCCGGCTTGTCCAGTCAACATGTCGAGGTGTCCTTGAGCAAGACACTGAACCCCCAGTTGCTCCCGGTGATGTCACCGGTGTGTGAGTGCGAATGGGTGAATGGCCGAATAATGTGAAAGCGCTTTGAGTGTGCTGTAAAAGCATAGAAAGGCGCTATACAAGTATAAGACCATTTAGCGTTTTTTTTGCACAGTTCATTATTTTTGACTTTATCAAATTTATGTATGTATTAAGACTTTATTTAAATTCTTTCATGGAATGCTGTAATTATAAATCTGTTGCAGGGAGACCAAAAGCTTCATTTTTAGTTTTTTAAATATATTTACCAAGTTAGCAATTTCCTAAAGAATTGCTTGGCAGTATAGTTACTAGTTTTTGAATTATGTTGACACAGTTGTAAATTAGGCACTTAAGAGATATAAAAAGTTATTTAAAAATGCATTTATAAACAAAACATAAGCCTCTGGATTGTTATTTTTCTCTTTTCAAGTCTGAGTCCAGTACTGAGAGATCCAGTGTGACGTTGATGAACCGTTCAGGAGGCCGCCAGTGGTCCAAACCACTCATCCCAGAAATGTGTTTTAACACCCAAACTAGTAAGACGGCCGATAGTGGGGAGGGCCAGCTATCTAACCCTCATGTAGCAGAAGATGGAACCAGCCGGCTGGTCAGCTGTGCTCAGTGCTGTGTCCGTGTACATACCAGTAAGATCCTTTTCATGTGCTAAATTGATATCCAGTAAAGTATGCACAGGCTTGTTAAATAGATCTTTAATACGTGCTTCAGGTTCTTTGTTATTCTTCAGAAAACCACCACTCAACAGTTACTCTTAAAATGACTATTACACACAGTTGTCTTTAAAAGAGCCAGCAATAAAAGCCACAGAGGGGGGTGAATACAGAGTCACACCTGTTGCACACTATTATTCAGCCAGTAGTGCTGTGAGCTCTTTCACAGCCTTTCTGATATTGTTTTGCTAAATGAATCCCTTTAAGCTAAGTGACGGCTGAGCTTCACGAGCAATATTTTCTTATTTTACATAATTGTCTTTTCCAAAAGAATTTACTTTGATGTAGCCTGGCCTGATTGTTTTATGGTCTGATGAGTTCTGTTCAAGTCCTCTTAAATATAAAATTGTTTACCATAAGAACACAAACACCCACAAAAGCTATGCAGGTGTTGGGGAAACAATTATCCTCACTCTTCATCTAAATTCCTCTTTTATTTTGTGTGGGCATGACTCAGTGTTGCTTACCTATGATCAAAGTATTCAGAAATAAGTTAATATTGACATAAAATAACAGCAAGTAGAAGAATTAAACCACAGGCTGCAGGTGGTTCCCCCCCTAAATTATTTTAATGTGCCAAATGGTACTGATAACCAAGCTGTGACATGAAGCTCATTCTATATGAATGCATGACATCTTCTTTTTCATTCCTGATCAGGCTGCTATGGTGTGAGTGGGGAGGAAGCAGAGCTGGATGACTGGCTGTGCGCCCGCTGTGAGGCCGGTGCCATCACCGAGGTTAGTTAATTGGGCTGGGTCATTTATAACAGATAGTGACTATCTGGAGACAAATAATTTAGATGAGTCATCATATTGATAACAGACAGACCCTTAGATGAGGCCTTACATGTGGGTGCTTTGCTTTTCTGATTGAACATAATTAATGAAAGCTATTGCAAGAACAGCCTAGAATGAAAACCACATGCTGACCCATGGAGCAATAATTTAGGCTGCAATGTCAAAGAAACCATTGACTTCACAGCCCATTTCCTCAAATAACAGACCAGTGCCAATGGCTGCAGGTCCTTGTGACCACTTTGTAATAACACAAGACAAGCTAATGACCCTACTTAGGGAAGTTTAATTTATTAAATTCAAGTCGGTTGGAGCTCCTGCAGCTAAAACCATGGTGGCACTTGTGAGTTCCATGATTGCTTGTTAGTTTCACTGTTCCCTTTTCAGTTAAAAAAAAAAAAAGTATTTTTATGTGGATGCTATTATGAAGCTGATCCCATCTGTTAAAGTCAGTCCTCATTTTACCTTAAAGCACTGTACCTTAATGTACCACACCAGCAACACAAAACTACATTGTACAGAGCGGATAATTAAACAGAGTTGACATCCACAGCAGGCCTGTTTTTGTCACACTTAAATAAACTTAGCTGTCTGTGGTGCCACTTCCTTTGTTCTGAGATGGTGAGTGTGTACTCTTCCATTGTATGTTATTATTTAGGAAATGTATTTTTCCAACTTTGTTTATAAAAATAGTCATTACATTTCCTTTGCTTTTAGCATTTCTCTCTGCTCAGAACAATAGATGAAACGCCTGTGACCACCAGTGGGCAATGTGTTACTGTATTGTTCTTTGACACCTCATAAGCCTCTGATTTCACATTGTTTTCAGTTTTAGAATCTGTAAGATGAAAAATGATGGAAGCCTGTTATAAATTTTTGTCACTCAGTTTATAATTACCACAGATTTTCTCTAAGAGGCTCTAACTATGTCTCATGTTATAAACATGAAAAGTAGAGCTGGGGTGCACTAACATTTTATCGAATCTGAATCCAATTCCAAATCCACTTAACGAATCAGAATCCTTTAGAATATGTTCAGGTTCTTATCTGATTAATAATAATACATTTATTTATGGAGCGCTTTTCAAAGTACTCAGACACGTATGAAGTTTGTTACTATAAAAAGAAAGCAAAATAGCAAAACAACTTTATTTTGTGCAACAAACTGTACAGTATTTATGAAGCTCGCTTTTTCTAACCACAGCCTGATACTAACTACAGCATGAGCCTTCAAACCTAAACCATAGATGTTCTGCTGAGCTGAAGTGTTGGAGTTGACTGATAGTTTGCTGAACAACTTAACTTTACCTAAAAGTGGGCTGGTTGTTGCACTGCTACAGATCTGACAGATCACACTACACCAGCGGTAGACTGAGTGAGTGAGGCTGAGTACTCGGCCCTGTCATGTTATGAAATACAACGCAAGTTTTTACTTTAACATGAAAGACCCTAGATGACTAAACAAACAAATGTGTTGTTCCACCTTTTTATGCCACTTTTTACAATTATTTCTTTGACCTCAAGTGGTTAAGTTGGTCTGCCATGTTTACAACAATGTTTTTCTCCATCCCTAACGACAAGGAACTCTCTCTCTTGAGTTCTGAATTAATCAGCGTGAGAAGCTTTTAAGAAAGTGCAGTGAGGTATTTCAGACTGTTCTTATACTAGTTGTGCACTGGGTCACAAAAGCAAAAGAGCTTTTATCTGCCTGATATCTATCCATGTTAACATCAGTTTAACCTGTAAATATTATATAACAGAACATAGATCCACATATGCAGATTTAGATGTGACAAGATAAAGATGTCTGCTGTCAGAGCTAGTGTCTTCACAGCTAACAGACTTTGTTGTGTTTCTTGCATTAGGACTGCTGCCTTTGTTCCCTAAGAGGTGGAGCTCTTCAGAGAGCCAACAATGACAAGTAAGTTGTCGCATGTCAACAGTGCTGCCACCACGGAGCAGGAAAATGTTACTTGGCTGTGTGAAAGTTTTAGTTGCACCCACTAGTGTAGCATGAGGTCACCACTGAACATGGACTAGAAGACTAAGTTCAGAAGTCTTAGGCAGTGCCACATTTACTTAAATGATCCTTTGCCTTTAATTTAATGTCACCATGGTCACAGTCATAAGCTGGTGGAACTATTCAACAAGGATTTATGATGTTTCCAAAACAGCCTAAGTGGAGTGAGCTGGTACACAGCAGATTGCTGCCCATGGTCACTGTTCTCTCTCCTTTGACTCCATTAAGTCTGTCTGTATGTTCAGTCTGTTCCTGCTGTAATTAATCTGGTGGCCCGGGTCCCTCAAGCTAAATGCACTTTGCAGCTGCAGCATACACACACAGCAGTAGATGTGTGTGCTGTTGTCAGCCTGTGGTTAGATTTTATCTCTAACTGTAGGCACAGTAGCTGAATGACAGTATGTCAGTATAGACAGAAGCAGCATTTTTCCATCTGTCAGCGTTCTGAAACAGTTAAATGACAGTGGGGTGTCTGCTTATTGTTGAGAGTAATGCACTCAATGAGACTTTTCAGTACCTTGATCTAATCTATGAATAGGTTAATATAGGCTGCATTGTGGTTAAGCGTGTTCGGGTATTTACCTTTTTTATGAAATATATTTGAGGTTTACTGTAGTTGTTTTGCTGTGGTAAAAATGAGCTTATTAAGGCTTTGGTGAGTGTAGAATAAATTTCCCATTACAGTTTTAGTGAGAGAGGACTTATGAGACTTATAGATTGTCAGGTACAAAGTGAAATGTAATGGAAAAAGTAAAAAAAAAAATAAAGCCAACACATAGTGCTAAATGACCAGAGAGTGGTGACTCAAGCTCCACTTACTGGGTTTTCCCAGGATTTCATTCACACCTCAGACTTTTTGAGTTGGCACAGAGATGGATGTAACAAACTGCTGAAGAAGACACACTCTGAGGTTATAATTTTGTTTGTTTAAATAACATGTTTGTTCAGTGGGGACATTTTTGCCATATGTATTCATTCTTTAACTGAATACAGTCTTGATTTAAGGGGATCTTTGTGTTTGGTAAACCCTGATTAGTTACCTCTGCTAAGAGGTTGTATTATTGCTGCTGTTTATTGGTTGGTTTGGCTTGTTCAGAGCATAACTCAAAAAAACTATAAAGGGATTTGGATCAAATATTTTGGAGAGGTCCGGTATGGCCCCGACTTTGTTGGTGATCTGGATCATCAGTCTGATCCACAAATCCTTTTTAATGGCTTTTGTTTTAATGGAAACTGGTCTGTCCTGATTTATTTTTAAATAATATCTGTTTTTTTTTACCTCTAAGTATGTATTTGCCAATGTGTTATTGTCCCAACCCTAATGAATTCATCAGTAGTCATGAGGACCACATTAAATGGGACTACACATAATGTTTAGCTTTGTGCAATATGTGTGACCACATTCCTGAATGTGTGTTCTGGCATTTCAGCCCTGGATATTGAACTGTTTGTCCTGACTTCATGTTTGCCTTTTGCACAGGTGGGTTCATGTGCTGTGTGCCATCACGGTGCTGGAAGCTCGCTTTGTCAACATCACTGAGCGGAGCCCCATTGACCTCTCCACCATCCCGCTGCCACGTTTCAGACTGGTGAGACTCACTGCAGTTACAGCTGTGCAGTGTATGTTTGATGGTGCTGCAGTGATTTTAGGCAACCTGTTGTGTCATCTCAGGCATTACAGTGATTCCTTTTTGATTTGGTGTCCTAAAAGTAAAGGGTAGTTGTCTCTTTGCTATGTTTCTCTTTTTCAAAGCTTTCTTTGATAGAAATATTCACTGACTGTTGGTAGAAGCAACATTTCTGTAGTGTGGCTGCAGGCAGTCTTTTTAAATTGTGGTTGGTTTGTATATCCACTGCGAAGTAGTTTTTATAGTTGAGAGTTGTGGTAAATAGAGGTGGCTCTCTGTTAGCATGCACCTTTCACCACAGTAAAAATGGTGTGGCACCTGTTGGCTCTCCTTAGTTTCTCTTCTCATTCTGGCTTCTGAATAAAAGATGCAATTTTAACTGCATAACAGGTGTGACTATCTGACAGAACAGAAAACTGTGATGTCACCTAACCAAAGTTTTTACTTGACAATACTGTTACAGGTTGGCAGTACCGGCTAAACTGCTGTTGTATATGAGTCATGTAAAAGCAGCTATCAGGACTCTGATTACAGTGGTTCACCTTATCTCGATTGTTAAATTCTAAATAAGTACTTACAATATATCAGACTATTAAATTATCGAAAGGAGGTTGTGTAATTTCTCTACAGCATGTGGGTCTGCATGCCTTTTATTTCCTTTGATAACTCCCCACTTGGCTTGTTTCCTTTTGTCTCCTTTCCATTACTTTAACCTACTATTCATCACTTTTTCTCTTGACCTTTATTCTCCCTCCATGTTTGTGTCTTTATCACTCTGGTAGAAATGTGCGTTGTGCAGGAAACGGATGACAAGGGAAGTCAAAGGCTGCTGTGTCCAGTGCTCCCACGGCCGCTGCTCCACAGCATTTCATCCCACCTGCGCTCAGGCAGCTGGTGTCCTCATGCACCCCGATGACTGGCCGTTCATAGTCTTCATCACCTGTCACAGACACAAGACGCCTGTCATACCCGAGGTAACGCAACTTAAAACACACAGTCTTCTGAAGCTGTGAGAGAAAGGGTTAACTAGAACAGTCCATGTGAGAATAAAAAGCCAGTCATGGGATCCATCCTCACTTGTTAATCTGTGCCTGAGCTCACTTCTTAGCTTGGATTAAGTTGTTTAGCTGAAACTTTACTGACTCACTTTTCCCCCAGCTCTTTCTTGGTTTTGAAAACGGACCTGTTTTCCAGGAGGAAACAGCCTAAATTTTCAGGTCTTCTCTTAAGAGCGCTTTATCTGCCAAGAAAACTTGAGCACCTCTTTTTTTGGTCACCTCCCATAATATTTTATTTTGCAAGTGGGGGTGACATTGAGGATATTGCTGAAGGCAGAAATAAACTTAAGGTTTGTCCTTGTTCTAAGGAAAACTTGCTACCATGGGCTCGGAGATTGGTTATTTCTACCACAAGGAGGTAGCATAACCAGCAGGCCCAGACAAGCTCAGCTAGAACCCGGCTTCCTGGTTGTGTAAGAGATGTTTTGGTGACAAAGAGCAGACGCAGACAGATAAGAAGCTGCACCATAAACACTAGAACCATGTTTTCGATCTCTTATCTCAGTCACTGGTCTGTTCAAGTGCAGATGAAAGGCTTCTCGACCCTACATATTGAGAACTGGTTTAGAACCGACATCCCTAGGAACTCTGTCCTAACAGTGCATCCAAATTATTTTTCACATTTGCACGCCTTAATTTTCAGTTGCACATTTTTGCTCAAATGTGCACTGTAAAGCCGCATTTATAAGGTTATAATACACTAGAACAATGGTCATTTTACATCTTTTTTTGTTCACTAGCAGTTAAAAAATGTTTACTGTCATAATTGAACCACAGCTGTTATGTCCTGTGCTTTTATTTGTTATTGTGCCATTCACAGTGTGACTAGTTGGTATAAACTGCAGTCACATCTTGAGATCTCTTTGTATTATTGACAGAAGGATCTCTGCGAAGAGGTACATAACAACTGACCAAGTATTGTTTTAGCCACAACAGTAGACTAATCCTCACGGACTTGTCTTTAGAGACAGTTTATTACACTGTCTTCCTACTGTGTTTATCTTCCTAGTGGCAGTTTGTGATGTGTAGTCATAAGATAATTCTCAGTTTCTGTCCCTCAGCGTAACAAGGCTTCCATGCGAGAGTTGGCAGTGGACCAGAGGGTCATCTGTAAACACAAAAATGGCCGTTACTACCACAGCGAGGTGTTGGAACTAACTACAGCCACCTTCTATGAAGTGGTGTTCGACGACGGCTCATACAGCGACAACCTCTTCCCTGAGGACATTGAGGTTAATAAAATTGCTTCCAAAGAATGCAAATTTCATTTGTCTTATGTTGCATAGTGTAATTCCTCACATATAAACTTGGAAAGACTTGAGCCAAGATAGATGTAGTTTCCTGATCATGCAATCTTTTTAGATATTATTCCTTATCTAATACGTAGCCTGAGTTTACCACTGGCTTTGGTGTGTTTGCAGAACCGTGACTGTGTCCGGCTAGGTCCACCTGCCAAAGGCGATGCTGTTCAAGTGCGGTGGACAGACGGGCTGATATATGGAGCCAAGTTTGTAGCATCACACTCCATCCCCATGTATCTGGTAAACCTCCCTTTATCAATCTCTCTAGTTCTGTCTCAGCAGGCCCGGCTCTGCACAAACAGTACCCTAAGAGAGGCTTACTTAGTTTGTTCAAACCACATCAGAACATGTTGGGTTGTGTTCCTCATCCTCATGATATGGGTGGTCTGTCTGGGTAAAAGTAAAGTTTATAGCAGTATGTGAATAAAGTGCTTAAATGGATATGTAATGTCAACACTATTTAAAGCAGTGTTCATTCAAATACCTGGTGGTTAAGATAATTTTAATTCACATTATTTCTGTATTAATGGTTTACTTTGAATGTGTGTATTTGTACATTCAGCTGGAGTTTGAGGATGGATCACAAATAACTGCAAAGCGAGAAGATATCTACTCTCTAGATGAGGATCTTCCCAAACGAGTGAAGTCACGAATGGTAACCTAAGATGTTATGAAGTGTACAGAGTGTGACTGTTAAGAGCTTATTTGAGATGTTTATGTTTGAGAACTGTAGCTCCAGCAGGCACTGATTTTGTTTTTTGTTTTGTTTTGTTTTTTGTTGGGTCCTCAGTCAGTGGCGTCAGACATGCGTTTCGAGCTCTTCACACAGAGCGAGGTCAAGCAGAACTCCAAAAGGCAACGGGTCATAAACTCTCGATACAGAGAAGACTACATCGAGCCCGTCATTTATCGAGCCATCATGGAGTGATGTGTGATTCTTTCTCCTCCTGTTTTCCACCTCATCAAATCACCGCCGAGCACTCCAGGTGTCCTGGTCCAGATTCCGTTTTCTGCCTACTGCTCCTCTTATTCTTCCACAGCCTGATGGGCTACATATAAACTATGGCTGGGACTTAAGATGTCATTTGTGTAAAAGTCATTGAATAATAATCCGTCATTTGTCATCACACTCTATAGTTTGTGTTCTTCCTCCACTATTAGTTTTTCTTTTCCTCAGGAAGAAGCCATCAATAATTATCAGTTAGGGAAAAGTTGGGGCGATGCTTTCTTTTGCTTTATCACCACATTTAGCAGCTGTCAAGTAAATACAGCTTTGTATCATATACAGTGTACTCAACTTACAGACTCTTTATTTTTGTCATTTATCATAATGGTAATTTGCAGTGAAGAAAACTGCTTTGAAGTCAGGTTTTAAAGGAAGTGTTTTGAATATTTTTTCACTGAAGTTACACAACGGTAGGACTGTACACTTTGAGCTACAGTAACAGTTTGACTAATCGATTTAGTTAAACAGGAACTGTTCATTTTTAACCCCAAAGAAATTCAATAATGTCTCCAGGTAACTTTTGACACATCTGAGGCTGTACTTGTCACTTCATGTGTTGTCTTACATAATCAACATGCATCTACTGTGAAGATAGAGGATAAACCAGACATGTAGAGGCTCAAGCCTTATATCTCAAAGGGCCAAGCATACTTAGGTTTTTCTGAAGTGTAAGGTATATTATAACTATTGTAATTAATGTTATTATACTTTATTTATGCTAGTGAATTAAGTTTGAAAACAAAGCTATTTTTGTCCTTTTCACAATCTGTAGAAAAACCCAGATGTATTTATATTTATTGAAATAATAGATTTTAAGACATCCTGTTTAAATTTTGAGGCTTTCTTTCCCTTTGCTGGAATTTCTAGTGTGAAGGATCTGGCTCAAGTCCCTTTTTTTTAAACGAAAAGCACTTAATGTAACCCTCCTGACACAGGACGACATATTTTATAGACTCATGGTCGCCTCTAGGTTTAGAATTTTTTTGGTTTTGATAAAATCTAGCTAGAGATAAACTTTGTAATCAGTCTGCGCTCAGATAAAACACGTGACCAAGTTTTCTTTCACACCAACACCCTTGTAAATGAAATGGTTTTTTGTGTAGAGAAGTATGAGAAGATGCAGACTCCTCTGGAGGATGTGGTGTGATGACACTTTGAGCTTTGCCCACTTCATGACTACTGATGTCTGTTTGGTTTTATTTAGGCCTGTGTCCAAGGCAGCATTAAATCTGTATACTCTTTGTAACCATCCACTGTTTGAGTAAAGTTTGAAGTAAGAAAAAAAAAAAAACCTTGTACAACTCACTTTCTCTACAACTACCCTTAACGATGAGCAGACTAAAGCCCTGAGACAGTATAGCTATTAGAATCATCAAAATGTTTCCGTTTTCACAGTGCCCTTTACCTGTGTGACCTTTGACCACCAAAATCTAAACCGTTCATCCTTGAGTTCAAGTGGACATTTGTGACAAATTTGGAGAAATTCTGTCAAGGCGTTCCTGAGAACATGTATTGTGTTCATAACAATGGGCTGGATGTAAGGACAACCAAAAAACATAAAGCCTGCCGCTGAGGGGCGTAGAAACAGGTCAGTAGATTTCAAGTTCAGTGTGTTGGATGTCGTCCCTCCAATCAAGTTCCTGTCATTTATGATGATTATCTATTCTTTTACATTAGAAACAGTAGGGTTTTTTTTCTTTTTAAGTTGCTTAGTTGCCAGGTAAATGATTTATGTATTGATAGACATAAATGTAATTATTTGAATTACAATGTAACACTTGTCTAAAATATGAAAACAATACAGTATATTAAAAATGTGCTGTATTTTGAACCAGTTTACAAATGCTTCACAGGATGAGTTAGTTTTTGTATTTGCTTACTGCATTATAGTGTTTTAAACAATTCATTTTTATAGTGTTTATAAATGCTAATGAATGGGGGTTAAATTAAAATGTTACTATTTTCTATGGAGAGTGGTTTTCTACATCTAGATTTAGATTTTTTAATTATAAGGGTGAAAATTTAACATCTGGGGTAGAGCCTGGCACTGCCAGTACTTATGGTACTGAAGATTTCTCTCTCTCAACGATTCCTGTGCCCGGAGGAAGTAAGCATTTCTCAGAAAATTTATTAAGAGGAATTGAGCCACCATCCTGAATTTTCTGATCTTTCTGCAAAATGCCACTGGGACACTTTTAGACTATTTCAGATTCACTGTAAGAAAAGCCCCAGAAGTACAATTTCAGTTCCCGTCATAGCCACTGTTGTTGTGCCCTTAAAATTCAGCTTAAAGCGGAATGATGTGTGTGGACAAGCTGAATGTGGTCCTTTACTTGTGGGCTGGTTATAAAAGACATGGTTACCAACATCCTCCTAGCTTCACTTTCTATTTGCCCTCACTTCCTCCCAATTGGTTATGACCAAAAAAACCCCCCGATGATACCCACAGAGCAGCTTTCCCCCTGCTTTAGTTTCAAGCCTTTGTTAGTTGGTGCCTTCTGGTTTTGTTATGCCATTGTTGTATGTTGTGTTCATGGCATCAGCAGTTGTGATAAGATGCTTTTTAGTCAAAAATTTCAGTCCATGATATTTTTATTAAGAAAAAATGTGTACATTTTTTTTTTCCAGATATTTTGCTGCCGTGTTTTTCTCACCTTGGGAAGTAAAAGGAGCCCTGCATAAGAATTTATGGCATCAACAAGATAATTCTGGCAGATCAACTTAGACTGATAATAATTTAACTTTGACTTAGTTATCAGCCATGCTAATACAGTGTGGCAGTGTTGGCCTATCGGTCACAACTTTGGTCCAGACTGAAGTATCTCATCGTGAGTAAGGATGTCTCTGTTAGGACAAATGGTTCCAAGGAAGAATTATAATGCATTTTTTTCATTCTTTGACATTTCTACTAAAGGGGTCATCAGGTCAGAATTTTAATATACTTCCAAGGAGAGAGAGATGCTGTCATTTTAAAACAGGCATTAAATGAAAACATTCTCAAACTGTCTCACTAGAGACACATTTGTACCATTGCGCTTGGTTGTTCACGTTAAAAGTGCCGCAATAAGTTGAGAAACAATCCCCAATTTTTTTTTTTTTTTCTCAGCTCCACCCGATCACATGAACACATCACACATCACATTAGACAGTTGGTTTCTGAGCTTTAAAAGTTAATGATCAACACAGACACTCCCATCCAGTGTCGGAAAGGCACAAAAGTTCTGCAGCCTCACAGAGCTGCTATCACAGGTGTAGGCTCTTGTTTTTGACTTACAGTAATTTTGACTTTACACATGGTAAGTCAAAATGACTTTGACTTACGTTTTGACTTGATTAGTCAAAATTAAGTTTGTATGTAGGATTTATTGTAGTTTAATTGAAATTAAACCATGTATGTGACGTATCTCTATTTGACGCCCTCAACTAAACTTGAAAGGAGGCCAGGTTGGGCTCTGAGAGGTGACATCAGAGAGAAGAGCCCGACCTGGCCTCCACAGCCAGGTTCCAGCAAAGCATATACACATGTGTGTGGGTGGATTATTACCTCACTCGCGCACATACATAAACCCACAAAGACTGTGTCAGTAAAGCAGCAGGTGTACTGTATTTCCTGAGCATCGCTGCTAACAATGCACCCTTTCTCTTCCATGCTCCACATCTACACAGGATCATAAAATCTGCTGACAGATAGGCGACAGCACCAGCTCAAGCTGCTCTGCCAGGTGTTGGGTAACGTACAAAGCTCTAAATACTAAAAAAAGCAACATGAATATAAATATAGATGTAGATATGGAGCAAATATTACAAGTCTTCCAGATAGTTTAGGAATGTGTAATGATACATAAATTGCAATGATTGGTATGTATTTCAGTGATATTCCTGAATGCATGGCCCTCTTTGGAGGGTGAAGTAATAAATATGGGAACCACCTTTCAACCCATTCGTGTTTGTCCTAGATGTTAGTATTATTTTCGTTCATACAGTATTTATTCATATTGTGTCACGAGCCTTTTTTTTAAATGTTGAGTATTTGTTTATAGCAAAGTAATTGCTGCTGCATATGATAGTAAAAGAACTTTGTAAACTAATGTAAGGTGGAGACATTGTACTGCGGCTGTGAATGTGGATTTACCTTTGAAAGTGCTGTTTCCATTTGGTGTTTAGGTGTACTGATTTCATGCTTTTGATAAGACGTGTCATTTTAGTTTAGAAGTATTTCTCATTTCATGACTCAATGCTAAAAATTTTATTTACCAACTTATTTGGTTTGCTGTGTTGCTATTTTTTGTCATGAGCGGTGAATGTCATTGAGTCTTTGTGAGTTCAAGTGACAGGAAATAGCTACTGTGTGGTTAAGTACTCAACAAATGTGATGGGCTGAAGTTGATCGTCACAAAAAAGAAAAAGATTTTATGTGGGGTGATAAACTAGGGCACGCTGTGGCTGAACACACCAGGGTCGTGTGAGTTCATCTGAGTGTTGAGCCAGTATCCTTGTTACAGCCTGTTCAGTTTGGCTAACAGAACTTCGTTTCACTTCCTGACCTCGCCTGGGTGTTCATGTTCGGCATGTAGACATTACATTTTGATGTTTGATGAAAAGTAAAGCTCACTTTTATACTCTCTGGGAAAGTTTCACAAATATAAAAATAGATTAAAAGCTCAAAATAGAGTAAAACGGGAGCCTTGTTTTGAGTTAGTGTTGACAAGTTCACCACTTAAGTCAATAATATGTCAAAGTCATGCTTACAGCTTCTTTCTGCCCTGAAATGGCAAAAAAAATCAATTCATGCAGGTGCAAACACTGTTGCAATAGCATATTTAGTCATGCAGACATGGGCACAGTATAAGAGCATGCAAACAAATGGCTCACTTATAATTTTCACACCCACAATCTAACCCTCAACATGCTCCACATCTGAAATCTCACACAGTCTCTCACTCCTTGTCTGTCTTTGGCCCAGCAGCGGTGAGTCTCTCAGGTCCCTGGGGTGCTGTCATTTGCAACCACCTCAGACCGGTCACATGGTAGTCAAGTGACACAGCTCTGCTTGTTTTGTGCTACGGATGTGGCATTTTTCGACACAGGAGTTAACCTGTAGTCTAAAAATCTAGTAATACCTA